TCAATTGCTGTCTCCAGCTGAGCACAGCAGTGGCTCATCACAGACTCCCTGTCGCTCCATAATGTTACCTTGTTTTTGCAAGAGCTGGAGCAAAAACAAGCGAAAGATGAGTTTTTGCTGTCCGTGGTGGTTGCCTGCTTTCGCTGCATTGCTTCGGGTAATGAATTTAACCCAGATGTATTCGCGTGTAAGGCTTACAAAGAAGTATCTCTTGATACCTGCGGTGCTGATTTTCCTCATTTCCTCGTGTGACGCATTTCCAGCTTGTTTATGCAGGTGCAGAGTTATTCGTACATCCGCAGCAGGGTCCATCACTGAGCGAATGGCATGTCTCCTCGTCTAGTGCACCATGCCTTGCACGAGTTGCACCTGCCAGGAGATAACTAGGCAGTAAAATTCAAATCATCCGCGCGAATTACCCGACGATATTACCAGCATAACAATATTGTGCTGAATATCAGAGATGATCATATGTTTGAAATTGTTGTTGTTAAAACGTTTGTGAGGTCGATTTCAATGGCTCAGTGAACATTACCGACATCTCCTGATAACAAGAGGCGCATCTATATTTGGCTTATCGAATTTTGAATCAAAGTTTATCAAATATATAAACAGGATATAGTAACTATATTTTGTATAAATAATTGGTCAGCCATCTGCGATAAAACAAGACAGTCTAGTGTGGCTGAAAAATCAAAAAAGTTTTGAAGTTTGCGAAAGAAATCTATGCGATAACATTTTGTAATTTTTCTTAATCGCAAATCATCAATTTTGACTGTCAATCTTGATTGGTCTGTTGGAGTTTGAGCCAAATGCTAACTCAAAATATTGCTACGAATTAACGTAATTACTATTTGAAAATCTTAGTTGATAGAGGAAAAGTGTGTCGAATAAAACCAGGACTACCTTTCAGAATGTCTTAAAAAAGATTACAGCAACGCATCCCCGGTTTATCATCTTTTAAATGATCAAAAATCCTATATTGAAACCTCTTCTGTAATCTTTCAGTGCTTATTCTCGTAATTCTGCGCTAAGCAATTTGTTGCTCTGCCAAAAATCTACTGTGTGTTATTTGCGTTAATTCAGCATCTTAGTTGTATGCTGATCTAGGACAAATCAAGACAGACAATTGGAGACAGGTCCAATTCAAGACAGGTATAATTTTAGAGAGGGAAAATTCAAGAGAGAAACTTTTGGAGAAAGGGGCAATTTGAAAGAGAAACTTTTGGAGACGTGGAAAATTTGAAATAGGTACATTTAAGACAGAGGATTTTGAGACATATTGAGACAAGTCTTATTTGAGACAAAAGCATTTCCTTGCTTTCATTCCTCTCTTGATCCATTGTAATACTGTACACTGTAATTCACATGAAAAAAACACCAGAGCATCCTTTATCACTTTTCTAAATATTGGCAGAGGTAAACTGCACAGAATATTCTGTAACCCAGAAACCGAATTGCGATTATTTTCTTTTCTCCATATATGGAGAGAGATCCTTCTCTACAAGGTATCCGTTTCCTTGCAGCTGTTCCCCTTTTGTTTTGGTTCCCCCTCTCTCACGTCGGCCCGCATTAATGCGTGACGGTCGTTATTGCGCGTTTCTCCTTTTCAACTTGCTATTTGTCGACAGTGACAAATGACTTGCACTGCCTTCTTCTAAACTGCTAATTTAGAAGAAGCCTATTCCGCCNATGATTACGGCATAATGAGATGGACTCAATTGCTGTCTCCAGCTGAGCACAGCAGTGGCTCATCACAGACTCCCTGTCGCTCCATAATGTTACCTTGTTTTTGCAAGAGCTGGAGCAAAAACAAGCGAAAGATGAGTTTTTGCTGTCCGTGGTGGTTGCCTGCTTTCGCTGCATTGCTTCGGGTAATGAATTTAACCCAGATGTATTCGCGTGTAAGGCTTACAAAGAAGTATCTCTTGATACCTGCGGTGCTGATTTTCCTCATTTCCTCGTGTGACGCATTTCCAGCTTGTTTATGCAGGTGCAGAGTTATTCGTACATCCGCAGCAGGGTCCATCACTGAGCGAATGGCATGTCTCCTCGTCTAGTGCACCATGCCTTGCACGAGTTGCACCTGCCAGGAGATAACTAGGCAGTAAAATTCAAATCATCCGCGCGAATTACCCGACGATATTACCAGCATAACAATATTGTGCTGAATATCAGAGATGATCATATGTTTGAAATTGTTGTTGTGAAAACGTTTGTGAGGTCGATTTCAATGGCTCAGTGAACATTACCGACATCTCCTGAAAACAAGGGGTCCACCTATATTTGACTTATCGAATTTTTAATCAAATAAGTTTATCAAATATATAAACAGGATACAGGACCTATATTTTGTACAGTATAAATAATCGGTCAGCCAGCTGCGATAAAACAAGACAGTCAAGTGTGGCTGAAAAATCGAAAACATTTTGAAGTTTGCAAAAGAAATCTATGCGATAATATTTTGTAATTTTTCTTAATCGCAAATCATCAATTTTGACTGTCAATCTTGATTGGTCTGTTGTAGTTTGAATCAAATTCTAACTCAAAATATTTCAACAAATCACCGTAATTACTATTTGAAAATCTTAGTTGACAGAGGAGAAGTGTGTCAAATAACACCATCACTATCTTTCAGAATGTCTTCAAAAAGATTACAGAAACGCATCTCCGTTGATCACCTTTTAAATTATCAAAAATCCTATATTGAAACCTCTTCTATCATCTGTCAGTGCTTATTCCCTTAATTCTGCGCTAAACAATTTGTTGCTCTGCCAAAAAATCTACTGTTTGTTATTTGCGTGAATTCATCATCTTAGTTTTATGCTGATCTAGGAATGAATGAATGAACAGAAAACTTTATTTGCCGCTTAAAACTTTGGAGGCATTTTGGGGCAAAATTGGACTACTTCTTGCTCACTGGGTGCCTCAAATTGTCCCCGTCTCAAGTTTTCTGTCTCAATTTGTCCAGTCTCAATTTGTCCAGTCTCAAATTGTCTGTCTCGATTTGTCCGTATCCCATTTTATACCAATCCTTTCAATGCATTAATGATTTAAAAAAAGAAACATCATCAGCAAAACAAACAGAAGCTGAAAAGGTGTAGACCGAAATACTGCATAATAAAACTCTCACGTCCCCGAATCAGGTCAATAAACCGCGGAAATGCGATCAATTTGAAGCTATGAAAATTCCGTGGAAATTCATTGATCCGTGCATAAATCTCCCATGTATTCCGTCGTGCATGAAGGAATATTTCGATGCTTCATTGAATTTCACGGAATTCGTCAAACACGAACACGAAATTCTGGTAAATACTTCTCATCATCTATAAGATTGATTATTGGCTCTCAAATCGAAGCACCGTGTGTGTGCTTATAGCAAAGAATGTAAAAAACATAATTTTGGCATACTTTTTGTTGATTACTGTGTTTTAATTTGCAGTATTTAGCTTAATGTACTCCTGGACAGAGACGTTTTGAGTGATTGATGCACGGAAGGGATCAAACTGAGTTTTCAATTTTATGCTACTTATTATTGCACTTCACAAAAAAGCTGAGGTCATCGGGTGCAGGAATTCGTAAAATTTGCTAAAAATTTCAACTGATAAAAATACTTAAAGCTTAAAAGGTTGAATGCTGAGAAATAATGGTCATTTTTCTAAAATTGCTCGAAGTTAAAATTTTTAAATGCTAAAAACATTTGATAATGTTAATTTTGCTAAAATGTATATTCTGCTAAGAATGTTTAATTGTTTATGATTACCTAAATATCCATGTCTCCAATTGTCACAGGCTCCAAAAGTTTCTGTCTCAAATTGTCCCTGTCTCAAGTTTTCTGTATCAATTTATCCACGTCTCAAATTGTCTGTCTCAATTTGTCGGCATCCCAAGTTTTACCAATCCTCACATCCGCTGTGAACGTCAGCTAAATGAACGCTATTAATCCTGATGATTGATGCAGTTTTCATTTTGCCAGCAGCTGTTAAGTGAGAGAGAATACGCTAGATGATGTGGAGTGTGAATACATTCAATAATTTTTTTCCAAAGAAATGATTAAAACAAAACTCCCTGATGAGAGAAATTTCGTTGTTGAAAGAAACAAAGAACTTGTCTGGGGATCGAATCACACTTATTAGGACGTGTGTTTGAGAATTATAACTACTATACGTCATTTCCCTCATCATCAGCAGCGGTTCTCTCTCTCTCTCTCTCTCTTTCTGCAATAAATGAGCGCTGCAAATGCGATCCTTTCATCCTACATTTTCTAGTTGGAGAAACGCGGAAATTTCCTCGCGTGTGTCTCAAATATTCCACGAAAGGGAGTGAGATTTCACCACCTGCGAGATAAATTCCGAAAGCCATGGGAAATTCGGGAGAACGCTTTTCCGATTCATCAGCATCCGGAGCAAGGTCGGATGCGTCTGGCCTCTCGTCTCGCAAAATCTGCGACAGCGTGCAGAAAATCCGAGTCTGAATTTTCCGCCTGGACGAATTCGCAACTGAGGCGCATGATTTCCCCGGGTCTTCTCCCGGAAGAACATTTCCGAGGAAAACTAAAGCCCTGGACGACGACGACGAATGGCACGGACTCATAAGAAACATTCGCAACCCGTTGTCCCGGATTTGTGACTTCAATAATACCTTCTGCCCTCGGAAGGACGGAAACAAGACTCGTTTCCTCCGGGTATTGTTTTCTGAAAATTTCAGGGGTTCGTCTGAAAGGAACTTTCGACCTGCCAACCCTAATACTGTATAAAGGTTCAAAAAGAAAGTGACCTCACCTAGCCTCACTTCACGAAGCCCTAAATGGATTCCTGAACGTTGGGAAAACTTTGCAGAGCGAAAAGTGATTTATCCTGACCACCGTTTAGCGCATTCGTAATCGGCAATTGTCAAAATAATGCAATTTGTGCCGAAAATGAACACTTGTTCAAAACTGTTTCAAATATGTAAAGCATGAAGAATATTTTTGCAGTATAGTTTCTGTGCGGAAGACAATTATGTTGTCCATTAATCCACTTCCCAGTATAACAGGTAATTTTTCCAAGAAAACTTGAGATAAATTTATTTGAAGAGAATTGAGACAGGAAATAAATGGTATGGCAGTAAATTTCTTAACTAAGAAGGCCACAATAAATCCCATAATAATGCGAATTTAGGAAATATCGTTATATAGACAGTTTTGATTGGCGTTTATTTTTGATGTAAACTTACATTCAAGACAGTGTACGAAAATTTTCCAAGGGATTTTTTTTAGTCTAGAAATAAATATCTTTAAAAAACGGGTTATGTGGCACCATTCTTTTTAGCTTTCCTAAATGAGTTAAATCCAGAAAATGTGAAGTAAACTTTCGAATTTGTTTCAAGTAATGAAATTTTACTGGGATTTTCCGCCATTTTTGGTTTGTTTTGAAACCCGGTGTACAGGTACACACCTTTCAGAATTGTGTCAATCCGAAAATTTCTGAGGAGCGCAATGCAGTATTCTCCTTTCATCGTCGGCTTCAACATGCGTTGTTCAACATATTTGTCTGTAATATTCTTCTTGTGTTTGGAAACTAACTGGTTGACCCACTGAGTTTATTTCCACAGTTGAGACGAATTCCGTGTCATTTTACTGTTCTTTCGTCCTAACAATGCCCTGCTTGTTTTGTTGGTCCACCGGCTGCTGGGCTTTCCGCTGCTGAACGAGCCAGTTTCACGTGTAAATCTTTTTTCCTCGGGACGCGGCTTTCTCTGGAGATAAAAGATCTAGCGAAATCTCCTCCTTTTCTCAGCAGGCGAATACACACATGGGGATGTAATTTCAGCTTGTTTATTCATTCATTTATTTACTTTTTATTGAGTTCCCGCTTTACAAACTTATGTAATTAATCGCTGTAATTCTTTGCTATGCTTGACAAGGACATCATTTGAGATGATGATGGTGATGGTAAAGCCCCTTTTTGTGATGCAGAAACAATACGAAAATGCTTTGCTGCTACTCTACTGCATGACAATTTAGAAAATTGTTTGGATAATTGGGTATATATGCTGGCGAGTGGAATGACAAAATCAGGGAACTTGAAAAAATTGAACTGTTTTTGCAATACCATTAAAATCTCATTACTACAAATTTGTGGGGACTTCAGAAGAATTTTGTTTTAACAAATAATTTGTTATACAGTGACTAGAACCTTTTTTTTTAAGTTTTGACCAATTGGAAAATTTTCTAAAAATTAAGCCCGCATGCAATCAACATCTTCCTTTTCTGACCTTTTCAGATGCTTTCAGAATTTAAAAACTGTGATCTTCAAAAAGAAGTTTAAATTTTTATTTGAAGTATTTACTCTGAATAACTGGTAAACACCAGCACCTTTTCTTGACAATTCCTAGTTTTTCTAAGCAATTCCTGTACAGATTTGTAAGGGTGGGTGTTCTAAAAAAGCTTACAATTTATAAGCATGAGCACAGGGTTTCTCAAGCACACAAACCCTTTTTAACATGAGTTTTCTTTGGTTAATTTTTTCATCTACCCCTCCTGCATCTTTCCTATCCCAGGAAAAAATTGTGAGAGATAATTTGTTCAGGTGGATTCTGAATAATTTTCATCCTTGATTCCACCTCATGTTCCAAGAACCAGTCTCACAGTAATTTTCAATGTGAAATTCAAGACTCTGCCTGCCTTCATTGGGGATTTTTCATTTAGAAATCACAATGTGTTCCTTAAAAAAGTTAGTCATAGTGGAATTTGTGAGTTTCTCCTAACAAGAATTTCATTACATGTACCCTTGTAGGCTTCCTGCCAGGACTGTGAAAAAAGTTTGGTATACTTGTTATACTGAAAAATTTGCTGTAACAGTATTTCTTGTAACGAGGTTTTATTGTAATTTCAAGAATATTTTTGAGCTGTTACACTTAGTTACTTATTAAAGACGTGTTACTGAGGAAAGTTTTTTAGACACGCTTATTTTCGAAGAAAGGTTTTTTTAAGGCTTTTTTAAAAGACACCTTCTTTTGTGAACGCAATTGTTCGGCTTCAACAACGTTCTCTGATATCCGTCTGAATTCCGATTAGGTCTGAAAACAAACGCATTCATCTTTTGACAACGTCATCATTTGCCTTTCTCCTCTAAAACATCTCATTTGCTTCTCGTCTCAGTCTAATGCATAGCATTATCCCTAAGGGTTGACTTGTCAGAATGGTGAATCGTCCTGAATCATCTGTATTCTCATCCCTCGACCGCCTGCCCGCAGGGCGTCCTCTGCGAATGACACGCATCTCCTCCCAGCCCAGCGGCGCCACCACCACCGCCGCCGCCGTGTGGGACACAGATATGCACACACAACGACGACGTCGAAGTCACGGAAAGGCAACAGGATACGACTGCATCACAGGGAGATTCTGCTGAAGAAAACGACGGACGGGATTGTTTGGCCCCCCGGGACAAAAAAGGGGTTCTTGGTGTGTGTGTGTGTGTGTGTGCTTGTGATTGCATTCCCCGCGGCTCGGGTGTCGCTGGCAGCCCATTGCTTGTATAGTTCTAACCGTTGCTCGTCCGCCGCTGGATTTCAACCGGATTGATTTTCTTTGGGGACGGGTTCGGGTTCGAGTGGAGGGGTTTCGTTTTGCTTTGCTGGGAGGAAATAATGCGATCGGTTGAATGCCATTGTGTGCCTTGGGATAAGATGCTCTTTATCTATCTAGGGGACTGCATTGTCGAGTTAATGCAAACCCGAGGACAGTTTCAAACGAAGGCTGTTAAACCGGAAAGAAAACCCGAGCAGACGACGCTATATATTCCGTCTCTATTTTTGGAAAAGTGCTTCCCAACTTCTTTTTTTTATTCTCAAGAATTGCGCCACTTTTCAGATGTATTTTTCAAAATTTGCCATCTCAGCATGGATGGATCATGGATCACCGGACCTAGGACTTTTGAATACAACACCTTGATGGACTTCAAGACTGTTGGGGCGCAGGTGATGCAGCCACAACGAAAGTTCACTTTATACAGATGGATTAATATTCTTTGATGAACTAAGCACAGTTGGTCAGTCTGAGATGGGTCCAAGATCTCTATCTAACTATTTATAATTAAAGTTTTGTATTTAAGTCTAACAGAAAACACAACTCAGATACTTTTCTCACGGGAAAAATTAGCAAGAGCAAAAATTAAATACTGTATATGTCATTTTCCTTAAATGCTTGTTGATACTTACATACCGATCCCAGTTTGCTAATCCAGATACCCAATTTAAAAATTTTTAAAGCATTGAATAAGCTTTCTTTTTGCAGCTTTGGAATTATTTTATCATTATTTTTATTGGCTATTGTATTTTCAATTTGACAATAGCTGGAGCTCTTATGCAGAGTGAACTTTTTATTTGCGCTTTATCTCGGAAATTATTTTATGTTGTTGCTGCGATGAAATATTGTTGTTGGCACTTGGCACACAGGAATAAATAAGTCAGACTATCCGAAAATCCCTTCCAAGAATGCTATCCGTTTCTCTCCTAATGGTACCACATGCATCACTTATATGTCTCTAAAGATAATTGTTGAAAATATTGCTCACGAGCTGCATAAATGCTACAGAAATTCAAATATTTTCTTATTGGGAGATTCTGTGGTATATTCCCCAACTTTTAAACGTAAAAGCACCCACAACTGGTTCTCCAAATTACTGTTTTTAACCATTAAAAAATATAAATGTAAATTATACAATCTATTCAAGCTTGTTGTACAGCATGTGGTTTATTATTGCTGCATACTCAACTGCCAATACTTTTGTATGCAGCAAAGAATATATATACTGCCAACTGCCAATACCAGTTGATATACAGTATATATATATATATATATATATATACATATATACATACATATATACTGTATTTACTTGAGTACCACGCACCCTCAAGTAAGGCATGAACAGGGGTTTTTCAGTTGTAAATTTGGCTAAAATCTTATACCCAAGTAAGATGCGCGCCCCAATTTTTAGTGAATCCAAAACCACAAATTTTTGAAAATAAATTCAAAAATTTTGACTTTAGACATGAATTGAAAAAATTGGATCAATTTTCAACTTTTTCAGTACAAAAAAGTTTTCTTGTTACATTTTTTCAAAATTTCTCCATTTTAATTAAGTATAATGCACACATAACTTCCCAAAACTTCTTGAAAAATGTGTACCTGCTTATGAGGTGCACCCTTTTTTTCTTCTGAAATTTGAGAAAAAAGGTACGCGTGGTACTTGAGTAAATACGGTATAAATATATATATATATATACTAAATACTGTATACCGTATATCAACAGGCTTCAGTCGAACTGACTGATTTGAGAATGATGTACTTTCAACACTGAAGAACCTTGAGGTAAGGCCCCTGCTTTTTGTCAGTGAAATTTCATGTACAATAAATGCAGCACTTTGTTCTGTATACTACACCATGTACTGTACTTGGAAAGTACCCGCATATCATTAGTTCAGGAATAATCCCTGCTTTAAAGCATACTATTTTCATATTCATTTCTAGATGCTAACACTTTCAAAACATGCATGGCAGATTGCTTGCAACCTCGTTTCTAGACGAGAGAAACAAAATGTGGCTCCGATTTTCCAGGTGAGGAGAGGACATGACATTGTTTGTGTTTTTTTTTCAAATTTCGGCTCAATAGAGGGGTGCATTTCAACTTACTCATATTTTCCAGTGCTGAGGTTTTCAATCAATGTCACTCGTGATTTAAATTTCCTTTCCCAACCCACTTATATGTCTGTCATTCCAAGTCCAGCTTCATATCCTGGCAGCATCAAGCAGACCATCTAATATGAAGTCCCGATAAAAATACTTGTACCACTTGGGGGAAAAACTAGTATTTTGTAATAGTTTTTCAGACATGTTTTTAGGCGCACCTTCACGCTCGGCATATCCGAAAAATTTTCTCCTTCAGCACGTGCTGAAACCGATTTATCGTGCGAACACTTCTTCAATAAAGTTACGAGCCCGGTTTTTCTAGAATAAACGATGACCGGTTCCCTGAGTTGAATAAGGCAATCAAGTTTTGTATTCAAAGCGCAGTTGGTAAACACAACAAAAAGTTTTTGAACCGCGAACATGTTCGGAAAGGTTTTCTCAGAACGCTCCTCGATAGTCCGCTGAAAATTTAGTGGTGCTGTGCGATTATTCCCTTCTTTTCAATTTATCGTCTTTCGATCTTTGCCTCGTCATGCGTTCGTCACATTTGCGATTAGAAACTTTGTTAAAAATTTAAATGTTTTGAAATTATTTTGATGGTGTTTCAACAGGCGAGAAGTCGTGTGGCCGTGTTCATTGACGAAATATTTCTAGTTCACCTGACTGTGACGCCACAAGAGGTGAACTCGTTTCGGTTGATTCCGGTTGATTAAAATTAGAAATTGACTTCATTAGTAGTGGTCGCTTGTTTTTTATTTACAGACTTATGATCTGTTATTGAACTATATAATAAAGATGGACTGCTCGCACAATAACGCAAGAACAATTCCCGAGGAAACGATGGACGGTCGTGGAAGCAGACTTCGAAAGTTGGCCATTTGCATCTGCTGGCATGTGAGACTTTCAGACCATTTATTTCGCAGAAACTAAGCAATCCCTCCAAGTTGACGGTTTTATGGTTCTTCTCTGTTAAAACATGAAAATTCCAGAGTCTCGGAAATTTCTTTCAAGGATCGTATCACTGTCGCCGAAATTGTATTGCGCTTTGCGAGAAGTAAATTTATGTCAGTCTCAATTCACGTGGAATCTCAATTTCGGCAATATATGTCAGTCCACGTTTCGAGATTCATAGCGGGGTTAGTTCTATGCTTCGAGGTTTGTTGGGGAAGGTCGTTTTTATAGCTACATTTACGATTGAGTCCACTTACTAAAACGATACACAGGAAACGCGAACAGCTTAGGTCAATAAAAAAGTATAAAATTATTTCATGCACGGATTAGGAATATTTCGTAATCAAATTACGCCTCGAATTATTTCAGATGCGTTCAAAAGCACGCAGAGAATTCATGGCTCCGGGTCGTGCTCCGAAGGTACTGCATGATTTTGTTCGGGAAATAATTGCTGCCCGCAGGACCTGTTTCCGCTGTTCTTCGAATGAAGTGGTGAAACCGGTACTTCGCGAACCTTTTCTCAAGTGCCTTGAACTGAAGCGAAGAATAAAGGAAATTTTGGACTGACGGTTGATTTTGTGTTGGAAATATTCTGTGGGTTACTCTTCTCCAGGGATGATTTTTTGTGTGTTGTTTTTTTTTTTTTACAAAGAGCATCTGAATGGCTAAGTATGAGTATGCATCCTTCGAACATCTTGAGAATGTTGACCTGAAAAATTGAGAATTTTTTTTAGCCGGAGTACCTCTTGAATAACTTCAATACGCTATATAAGATATCATGCCGAAAATGCTACGTTGTCTTCTTATTGAGCTTTTTCAGGTGACTAATGGCCTTGAAATAAATGAAATACGGTACATATTCAGGCATTCGAACCACTATTTAGGGTAATGTTTCAGGCTTGTCTGCTGATTTTTTACTGAACCTCCTTTCGATATTTTGACCAGCAACGGCGAATATAATGTAAAAAAAATCCCAGTGAGTTAGAGTTTAGATTCCGTGTTGCAGTGCTTTTACTTGCATTTTTGGCATCAAGATATACTTGACCTGAATTGATCCGTTTCTTAGCATAACTTATTAAATTAATCGGGAGACTCGTACACTCGATTCGGAAATTTAACGTTTTCTGAACCTCTTATTGTTGCCGTGATCGCAGATGAACCGCAAGTAATGCACTGTATTTTGATGCATAGTTAAATGGTAAATAAATTTATTTTGAAAATAAAAATGGCCTGATCGACGATCTTGGCGAAGAGCCTTGGTTGGAAACCATCAAAAATTAGCAAAAATGATCGGATATAAAATTATAGTACTGTGTAATTTAATTTCCGTCGCAACTGCAAAAACACAAAATGCTATCACTATTTATATTTTCAAATGAAAATATAAATTGACTGTATATACAGGTGGACTCATCTCTGCAACGAAATTCAAGGGACTAGAAGAAATCGTCGCAGAGAAAATTCCCTCGTGGAGAACCCCTATTACATAGGGAGAGAACCCCGGATGGATAAAAAATCCTTTACCTGTGAAAATTATTGTAGAAAATAACTTTGTGGATAGAGAGAGTCCACCTGTCACCTATTTGCTAATGATCTAGCTAAATTTACTTGATTATTTGGAAAGCGAAGAAATCGTACTATATTCTAGATTTTTAAACAACACTGTCAAACGCCTTCAAGATTTCCCCTGATACACCACCACCCTCAGCAACAACCAATTTATTTTAAACATCAAACCTTCCCTATAATGAAAAAAAAAAGATTGAAAATCCTGTTAAAACCCTGTGCTACAAAATTATTGACAACTCAAATATGCTCCTGCCAGTTAATTATGGTATGCCTTTGCTGTCCAACAATATTCAAGTTTCTCTGAGACGCTTTAAATTGGGTTCAGTAATTGGGTTGCAATTCTAATCACTAATATCTTGTTTTTTGTTACCAGTGAAGGAAGGGGGTGTAGGCATTCACACCAGTTGTGAGGATGTACATATTGTGGGATGTATTTTCTTTTCTTTTGGTATTCACACACAACTTACTTCTCTGTTTTCTCTTCTGAAGTGTGAATGCCTTTGGAAGGATTTGGGTTGGGAGGGGGTTTTTGGTGTGGGAATGTTGTGTGAACCTTGTGAATGCTGAAAAACAGAAAATAAAGCTTCCTGCTCAATTCAATTTTGAATAAAAGAAAACAATGCAAACATATAGATGACACACTTTACTTCTTAGAAACATTAGCTATATATAATTTACACATTACAGGGTTATTTGGATACCTTTTTTTTTAAGAAAAATAATTTCATTTCCTATTATGCTTAATTGTCATACAGTATTATTTTATCTTTTTTTTTGAACAACCACTAACCCTTTTTAAACTCCCCTAGTAAACTGCTACAAATTTCCACCAGAACACTCATTGGGGTGTACAGGTGGTACCTCACAATTAAACCTCCCGCAATTTTATGGTCATATTTGATGGGAGGTCAGCTCTTAATTTTACCTCAAATAATTAACACAAATAATCAAATGCCAGGTAGAAAACATGCCGTTTGATATTGCCTTGAAATGTGACTGCTTTGTAATTTGGCCACTTTGCAATTGGACCCCAGTCCAGCAACAGATTAGGGTCAAATTGTGAGGTGCCACCTGTATAAGCCATGCTTGGCCTCAATCATCCAGACACATGATCATTTTTTTCATCCCCTCATCTGCAACAGGTTCGTCACACCGACTTCTCGTTATACCTCGGAACCCCCGTCAACACCGGAAGAAATCCCTTCCATACACCGGAAATGGCTCGCAACCGCTTTCCCGAACCGGGGTTCCGGAGTTTGATGACGAAAGAGCCCCAGGTTTCAGCCCCGCTGGGTCGCATTTTCTGGGCTGTCGAGCACACGCGACCACCCGAAGGCGTTTGCGGATGCCCGTGAGTAATTCAACCGCGAAGAGAACCCCGGGTAAAAACTTCCTCTTCTATCCGAACCCCTCCCACTCCACTTCCTTTTTTTTTCTGTTGTTGTTGTTGAGAAACTGTGGCTTGTGTGTTGTATCGCTGCCAACTCCTTCGACACGTTTGTTCATCCCTGCCTGCAGCATGGGTATGCTCTATACCGGCTGCTTGGTATGGTGAATGTGCACGTGCGAGGCACATCGGGGAACCCATCCGACTGATGAGTAGTAATAAAACATATAAATTCATGAAAGAGAAGTATAAAAATACGGCTTTTCTTCCCATCTTCATAAAAACTACTTTATATCGTCAATTTTAGATCAAGTATCCATAAAGTATTTCAAGGCTGAAAAAAAATATGAAACTCGTCAGCTGAAATCACGTTCATTAAAATTTTGTATTTTATTTGATTTTATCTACACAATTATGGACGCAAAAGCTATCATCAACTCTTGCGCGGCTGAGTCAGGAATATTTTGCTCAACTTCGTTGCACAAGGGGGCAGAAATTTGTATAAACGAAGACTATAATAATAGTCTTCGTCTATAGTCTATAATTTGTATAATCAAAGTAGCTGAAGTAAGCATTTTATTTTATTTTTAGAACTACAGACAACGTTTGATGACTAATTAATAAACTTGACAGTGGAGAAGTTGGCCATGCAAAGCAAGCCAAGAGCCACAAGACCTATTCAGTGTGTTGACAGACTCAAAAACCGTCAAATTGTTTCAAGTAAAACCCCGATTAATCAGACATACAATATATACAATACTGTGAATGATAATAAGAAGACATTTTCAGAAAACGGTATATCTCAATCCCGTCTGAGTTCAAAAATGAAAGAAAAATGTGGACAAGGGCTGATCATAGCCTTGCCAAAGATTTTTGCATTGTAATGAAAGACCAGCAGTACACTATTGTTTTTCATTCTTGCCTTAAGAAAAGAACATGAATTACATTCAATACTCCTGGTGATTGTATGTACAATTTTACAATTTTTGAAATCGTTGGCTGGCCAAATTCACTACTGTGATACTGACAGGCTGTCAGAAAAAAATATTCTGACGCGCCTCGGGTTTTCTCGATGTGCTTTAAAATAATATTGAGTCTCTCATCGGAATTCAATCGAAACAAATATAATTTTTTACAGTGTTATAAAACTACAATACCGCGAACTGATGAAAATAAAGATTGATTTTTTTCACGAACAGATAAAAAAGTATTAGCATTGAAAATACCGTACATTATTTCCACAGGTAGAAAACTCATTCGTCCACTGACCTACGGAATGAGAATTGGTCGGTTTATTTTGCGATTCTATGAATTTCATATTCTGTTTTTCTTCTTTTTAAGCCAATTTTGATCTTGTCCATTTCCCTTTTTCAAAATTATTTTTTCTGAATACTGTATTAAAAAACATTTGCATGAAAATGCAGAGTATGATTTTCAAGGCTTTATTTATTCAGAAAATTAACGGATATCCCGAAAATTAAACAGGACAAAACCATACCCACTTTATACAGTAATCAATGAATCATTGATTGAAGGCTGGATCATTGCGGTTATACTCTACAATATCTAAATCCAAGAAATCTTCCAGGAATTGACGTCAAAGACAATTTTCGAAAAGAAGAACTGAAATATTTTCTTATTTCAACCTACAATCGTCGATTAGAATGTAAACGTGTAAACTATATTTGTTATTGTAAGCAAAGGAGTGTCGAGAACCTAATGAAAAACCCCTTGAATAGTTCCCCAACCCGCGGGGCATCTTTAGGGTCCAGTGGTTTTACTTCCGGAGGGATTCGAGCAGCGGGGAATCCAATTACATTTCCTCACACCAAGAGGCTTCGCAACTTCCGGAAACTTCCCGATGACTATTCTTTCTCATCGTCATGGATTCCGTTCACTGAACTCAGATGAGGCCTTTCAAGTCATCCAGAAAACATTCATTCTGTACAAAGTGTGCGTGCCGCAATAATAATGCGTCAGAGCCAACACTATGACGATATTAATGAGAGGAACGAATTACTGTACTCAACTTATTTTTTTGGCACATTTTGAAAAAGTTTCTCAGCTGTGAAACGGCTAAAACCTTCACATTTCACATACAGCCTTCACATACAGTGAGACTCGAAATGTGGACGGAATTGGTGTTTGGACCTTGTCCCAATGTCGGATCGAATTTATCGTTTTTCCTTTAGACTTCAGTTCAAGCGTATTTAATTAGTTCTCCTGTTAATCGAAAATTAAGAATAAATCCCAGAAAACATGGATTAAAAATGGTCTCCCTCAACTTCAAGGTATGCGAAATAACTGTGTAGAAGAAAACCACGTAGAATCAGATCTTTTGGCATCCAAAGGAGCTCAAAAAGCAGAGCAAGAATAAGTTTTGATTTTGTGCATGGATGATAGAAAAACTCAGAAAAAAGAAGCATAAAATCAGACATTTTGTTTTTGATTCAGAGTGCAGTATTCAGGTGCATTTCCAATTTATGCGAATATAAATACGGTAGTGAACTTTTTTCAAGATATATAAAAATAAACAAAAAAATCCCTGGAAAGTTTTGGCATAGTGTCTCTATCTCGAGCCATAGTCCGGATGTCGAGTCAGATTTTTTTTCGAGTTGCAGGTGACCCTAATTCGAATCGTCCTTATTTCGGGGTCTCACTGTAATTAAAAATTAAAGCACCGCTGATGATGATTTGTTGATTTGACCGCATTTTCACGAATCTCCATCATATTGGAAAATTAAAAGAATCCAACTCACCCTCACGCAATAATGAACATTTATGATTCATTGCTGCTTTTATTTGAATCAGTTTTTCAGATAATAATGCAGGTTTCCAAAAAAGTATTTATATTCTGCATCACTGGAATACGAACCGTACCCCTGATTTTAACTAAAAAAAAAAACCGATTCTGCATGAGAATGTAGGAAGTTTTCTCGTCAGTTAAATTTATTCAAAATTGTCATTTTCTGCTGATTCTACTCCATCAACCCGATGGATCACCTCAGAACAGTTTCGATGGAAATGAAGCATTCATGATTTTTCCGCCAACGGACTGAAATTGAGATTTGTTAAATATTCGAGACAACTTTTTATTCAAATTGCATTTGTCATGCAATCTCCTTGCAAATTTGAAATAAAAAAAACGTGGAACCCATGGCACGCCGTGAGTAAATATGTGCAAAAAACTGCGTCTTAGAGGTCGAACATGACATGGTGATTCAAAACTTGAATCAGAAAATCTTTCAATATTTTCTGCAATACTCTTGTCTCATTTTCAGTCAAAACTTTTTTTTACAGCTCACAGCGTTGGTTTTTTTTTTGTTGAAAGATCGAATATTGTTTTGCGGAGAATACCAACCATGCTCCCCTATCGAAATGTGTATTTTTTTTTAGCATAGTGATATTAAAGATTGACGCAAAGCGCGAATGAAACAACCAAAGTTGGGACACGAAAAAAAATCTCGTCCTTTTATTATTTCATTCCGTTGGTTTTGTTTCCCGAATAGAAAGGAAGTTTGTCTTCGCGGACACGAAATGCGCAAAAACGTCGCAACACTTTTTCCAACGTCGCCGAATAAAATTCGCTCGAAAGCCGGGTTTTAAAACGGGAGTTTTCTCTCTTCACTTCCGCTCGGGAGAATGAGACAAGGACGGGACGACGATGAATTAAAAACATTCTTATCGTCCATCAACGCGCGAAAATTGATTCCCTAAAAATTCAAAACTCGTTTTTCCTCCGCGGTTCTTCGCACGAAGCAGAAACAAAAATAAGCGACACATTTTCTTTTGCTTCGTTCCGAAATCAGCGTCTCCGGAATAAACGAAGTTCGGAAGCGTTCGGACAGGTGGGAACGAGAGACAGAAAATTCCGGAACGGCTGAAAACTTCGCGAAGAAACCCGATCAACAAGTGGTCATCATCAATTCCGGTAAGATTTAAAAAAACATCCGAAACACCCTCCCGAAAAAATTCCGATCGCGCACTTGGAGAAGAAAATGGCAACCCAAAAAAAAAAAGAAAGCGGAGCGCAAAAATTTTGAAACACCACACTCGATCATATCACAGTTTGCTCGTTTTTTTTTTGGCTACAGAAAACGATTCTTTCGCCAGACAGAGAAACATCATCATCATCGTAATCAACACTTTTTGGCGAGAGATAAAAATCGCCAAACATCGAAACATTGCTTCCCACCGAACACAAAAAAAGAATCAATACACCTCTGATTCGCCAAAACACGAAGGGTCCGCGGGGAGGGGGTTGTTGGATTTTGACAAGCTCATTCAATTATCGCTGCCCAGGACATTTCAAATCCATCGGCCTGAACCAACAAAACAAAGAAAAAATCGGAAGATGAAATGGCACCAGCCAAAAGGCTTCATCGAATGTCAAGAGACAAGTCTTGCATCTTGTCATTCAGCATCGAAAAACAGCCCTGACATTTACAATCTCTTGATATTGAATCATCAAAAAGCTCTGGAACAAAACTCAAGACAACCCAAGCTTTCAGCATCGTCAGGAAATCAGATAAAAAGAAAAAAAAAATCTCCGATTAGTCACAGACCCTTCAGAAAAAATCACGAAAAATCCCCAAGTTTGTGCATCAGCAAAAATATAAAAATTGGCAGCATGAATTATGATTTTTTTTTAGATGCCAAGAATTGAAATCTAGTTTTAAGCAAAAAGAAAAGTCGACGCTTCACATATTCCTAGGACCCACAGACGAAACCTAATTTTAAGAATTTGTTCAAAGAAGGCAGTACACACAGCGGTAAAATATTTTTAAAACTTCAAATTAGAAGAGGCTTACGTCATAAATTCCTAAAATTGTCGCAAATAAATTTAAAAAATAAAAATTAAGAACGAAGCGAGCATCCAGATCAGGGAAAAGACGATTTACCATCACGAAAATGTAGTTCAGAATTGCAGCAATAAATAACGTAAATTTTGCGCATAATTTGCCACGACAAATCTTGACTGCCTTAATTCAAATGAGAACCAAAAATCACTGAAAGATTAAACGTCAGTTTCAGCAGTTTATCAAGAAAAAATATTTAAACCTCGAAATTTAGAGCAACGCATCATCCCTTCAGATTGCCTCTCATCATCAGAACTTCGAAAGAGCAAAACCATCAATTCAAGGGTCATCAAAAATGTGGCGAAAACTCCGTTAAATTATTGTGAATTCAAAAAAAAATGGCTTCCTCAGAAATTCCATGAATACGTGAAGCGTCATTGTTTTCAATTTTTTTCAGAAATTTTGAAAAAATCTTAGAATCAGGTGACACATTGTAAAACCGACCAGATCTGATCGCATTTGACACGGATATTGAAAAAGAAATGGCGAGGGGAAACAACAGCAAACACACTTATCACACGGATTGCAAAAAAAAAAAAAACAGAAAAAAGAACACCGCCATCAACTTCTTCTTCTTCTTCATCTTCGCGCCGACTTTCCGCCTCTTCGCCGCCGTCTCTGGAAACTGGCATTGATCACGTCGTCGGCCAGCAGCGGATACGTCGCCGCGTCGTGGAAATACGCAAACTCGAAATCCGACGCGAACCCGACGTCGCGGAGCTCCGTCAAGTCCGACGGCGCCCACGCAGTGGCGCCCCTCAACCCTCGCTCCGCCGCGTCTTTCTCTCGCCGCCACGCAGCATCCCCGGTGTCCTTCCTCAGCTGTCGCAACAGCTTGTGGCGGAGCTTGTCCCCGGTGTCGCCGTAGCGAATATGCAGCTCCGTCGACTCGGTCTCGATGACGACGTCGTAAACTTTCCCACCCCCGGGGGACGTTGTCACATTCACCGCCTTGCCGGCTCGGGAGCGCAGTGCCGCCTGATCCTCGCTCAACGACCCGGCGTCGGGTTTGGCAAAGAAGAAGCGCTCCTTGTGCGTCGTCGGCGCCGGCAAATGCAAATCGAGCAGCTCGGAGTTGTTGAGCACGCCGGCGAAAACGGCGGCGAGTTGGGCGCCGGCTGCGTTGGCGGCGCGGACCAAGGCGCGGCCCGGCGTCCGTGACATGACGACACCGGCGCCCAGGGGTCCGTCACTCGACGACACTCTCGGCGACCAGTCTTCGGGTGCTTGGAAGGCGGATCCGATGGCGGATTCCGGGGTGGAGGACGCCACGGACGCGGCGTCCAGCGAGAATTCCCGGGCGCGGAAGAGGAGGCCCGAGCGGGGCGCCACTCGGGCGTTGGTGGCGGATGCGAGGAAGGATCGGCTGCGGACGGACGCCGATGTTGGGAAGTACAGGTTGAAGAACTCGTAGAAACTGGACGAGGACGGAATGCTGGAGGTGAGCAGGGAATCCGCGAAAAACAACTGCGGGTTCAGACTCTGCGGCGAGTAGCCCAGTCGCTCCATCCAGCCGAAACGATCTGCAATTCATGAGAAAAATAATAACATTTGAAAGAAAGGTCCATACCGTGATTTCAAACTTCCATTTCATTCTCAGAGAAAAGAATCTCAATTTTGCAACTTACCATTTTACTCGAGTGCCACGTATTTTTCACTCAGTTTTTTTTGGCATGTCATTCGCCCAAAATTGTATCCCCGCATAAGACGTGCACCCAAGTTTTACATGGTTGATTTCGAGTATTTTTTTCTCATTATAATTTCGAACGTATAAACATATAAATGAAAACAAGTGGACTCTTTCTCTCTCTCTCTGTAACGAAACTCGAGGAACCAAAAGAAGAAACGGACAACTCAATTCAACATGGTTGATTTTGGATTTTTATTATTATTATAATGTTGAACAAAATAAACCCATCAATTGAAAAGCAAGAGAAATCTCGCTCTCCCTCTCTCTCTCTATAAATAAAATCAAGGGATCAAAAAAAAAAAAAACGCGCATCTCAGATTTTGGCATATAATTTTCCCAAAAATGTATCCCCGCGTCAGACATGCACCCCAGTTTTACATGGTTGATTTCGCTATTTTTTTAAAATTATAACGTTCAACAAAATAAACTCATAAATAAAAACAGGTGGACTCCCTCAACAACATAACTCAAGGGACCATACAAAAATTCGCTGTAGAGAGAATTTCGTCGCAGAAAACTAGAATAACATGGGGAGAGCACCCTATGGAAAATAAAATTCGTTATACAGTACAGATACATTTTTTTTTAAAGACTATATCGTTGTAGAGAGAGTGCACCTGTATAAGAAGATAGAGCATTTTAACTTAAATCTGAGCCTAACAGAATTCTCGGTTGAATATGTGGACCTATGAAGTAATTAATCATGGCTCCCGCCACTGATTTCCTAATTGTATTGTACCAGAAAATTTACACTCGCGTACGACGCACACCCCCATTTTCTGCCTCGATTTTTTGCAGGAAACAAGCACTCGCGTGGTACTCGAGTAAATGCGATAAATTATTTTAACAGTAAGTAAGGAACTAAGGATACAAAAAAAAATAATACCGCAAGAAAATGCCAGAATAAGTTTTACAATCATGAAGACGATCTGCGGCGTCTGTCAGAGGAAATCCTCGAGGAATGGAAGCGGCATTTAACAGACCGACGCCTTCACGTCAACGGAAGGAAACTATAAACCACCACGATAGGAATCTTGATGTTCCGGATTTCAAGTCCCGATTTAACGATTCGCGACGCTGCCTTAATGAGAAATTCGACAAGCAAAGCTGCAAAACGACTGTAAAAGCCAATTACTGTATGACCACTATCAGATAATCGTAAACTCTGGATTCCCCCAATCAAAACATCGCCGAATGACTTCCGGTGCGATGCCCGTGGATGAGCGTAAAAATCTGCGTTAACGAGCTTTGATTAGAACTATTAAAAATTGCGGGAGTTCAACAACCGGAAAAAAAGGAAAGAAAAAAGCCGACAGGGTTCCAAATAGGAACTGGATTGCACATGAACGAACTGAGACAAACGTAATTTAATTAAACTGCAAAGTAGCAACTTTAATTAATTTTAAAAGACTTCCCTTTCTCAGAATTTAAACTTCCTTTATTTTTTCTAGCAGAAATTTGGCATGAGCCTGAACGTGAAGAAATTCATGAATAGACTGCGTGTTTGATTCAGATTAAACTCCATTCAAACTCGTCACACAAAATATGAAGTCTCAAAGCATACGAACATAATACTGTGACAGGGTTTCAAATGAACAATTATAAAATAGAGTAAAACGTATATCAGAAAATAGCAACCTAAAAATTAGCACATTACTAAAATTGTCCAATAAAAAAATCCGAACAAAATCAAAAAGCCTCCGTCTTTTTCTCGGCCACATTGCTCTTTTGTGCGGTGGTTCGATTTGCACTTCAAATATTTCTATCAATGCTCAATTTTCAATACGAATTGTTGTTTTGAGTATTTTTATGCTCCCACTCTTTTGATTCTTGCTCTTCTGTGCGTCGGCTATTTTAATCCAGAGTTTCCCCATCTGATGCGTACCTCAATTGAACACGCGAAATTGCGAAGCTTTCCTTTTCGGAATTGGCAGCATTCGAGAAGAATTAAATTAATAAGTAAATAAAATGAGAAGGTCGATCTTACCTTCGGGTTTGCCCATTTGACGACGGTAGTTGATTGGGTCGTTGCCGTTGAATCTGTACAAGTGCAGCAAGTGCGGCCGAGCGACTCGGGTCGTCACGGCTTGCCAATCGGGGGTCATCCACTGACCGATCACGGGGTCATAAACCCTGCCCTCAGACATGTGCACAATTTCCGTCAGCGGCTCCAGTATTCCTCCACAAAAGTCCACCGGGATCTGCGCAACCCATCAAAAGAACAAATGTTTAAAAACAAATCCCACATTCAAAAAAAAAAATCGTAAAAAGGCGCATAAAAATGTTCACTGCTTGAACGATTCGTTTCCTTAAAAGTGGAAATCGAAACCAACGAGTAAAATGAGAAAGAAAAAAAATAGTGATTGATGCTGCAACGTTTTTGAAAACTTTTTACAGGAACTCATGTTTTCTTTAGTTCACTACCTTGCTCCCTTAAAATTCCTTTTCAGGCAATAAAGAACACAGCTATAAAAACTATATGATCCCTCAAACGTTGAACAGAATGTGTACACTACATTAAATTCAAAAAAAAATTTTTTCGCATTTTGTGCCTTCAAAAAGCTGTACGCTGCTCATTCGCCAAATTTCCGCAGATTCATCATATATCGCTTTCTGATCGAAGATGAAAATCAATTCAATAACCTCGCAGTTTCCATGATAAATTCATACATTTCGTTTTAATTACTGTACCATAGTCTGATCGTCAAATGTGGCCGAATATGTTAATAAAATTTGCGAAAATCCGAAGAAAAAACAGCAGAGAATCATTTGAGTTGTTTTGTACTTCATGCAAAAATAATGCCGTGGTTGCATAAAACAGATAATTTTCCTCTACTTCGAGATGAATCCATTTCACAGAATACATATTCACATGATAAATGTAAGCAAAGATGAAACATTTTCAGATCAATGCTGCGACGAAAATAGCTGAATTTGGTGTAGCGCGTAAAATCCTACATGACGGTATGTGAAGAAAAGTTTGAGGGATTTTAAAAAAATATTTCGACTGTCTAATATTCCAAAAGACCAAGACATTGGCAACACTTTTGTATCTTCGAGAATTGCTTTAAAAAAAATAAATGATTGCTTTCGTCCGCGAACCTGAATTTTTCCTCTTTTTCGACAGAGATCCACGTGACAGAAGTTTCATATCACGGCATTTATAATCAAAAATTCAGATCAATGCTACGATGAAATCAGCTGAATTTAATGTAAGCGCATAAAATATGCATTACGGTATGCAAAGACAAGTTTGGGAAATTATTATTATTTTTTTAGAATTGATTTCTGCTGTCGAATAAATATGCCCAAAGGTCATCAAACTGACAACACCTTTAAATCTTTGAGAATTGCTTTAAAAATATGTATATATAAAACAAATGCTGTTGTCGGCGTACCTGAAGTCGCTGGTTCGAGTCCCACATTATTTTCCCGTACGGCCCTCGAATCATCTCCCTGAGCACCGCCCCCCGGGCGTCGAACACCTTCACGGGCGTCCCGCACGCATCCGTCGCCACGTAGAACTTCTCTTCCTCCATTTCGACGAGCACGACGTTGTCGCTCTCGTCGTAGAACAAGGACGTCAGGCGGTTCTCCTTGGGGTGAAACACGTGCGTGACGAGTCTCGGCTTCTGCGGCGACGCGTAAAACAACTGCGTCACGTTGCCCAGGTGGTCTCGACGCAGGACCAGTCGGTGCAGGTGGTCGTACTCGTACTCCACGAAGAACCGATCGGGTCGTTGCGCGGACATGAGCAGTCCGCGTCCATCGTAGGAGAACTGGGCCTCGGCCGCGTTTTGGACGACGAAGCCTCGCTCGTCGTACCGGTAAGTGCCCTGGCCGAATTTCGTCAATCGGTCGTCACGAGTTTGCATCGCGATGTCGGTTTGCTTCAGCTTGAGAGACACACAAAGATAAGAATACACGCGAAAATTAAAACAAAAGGTACTTGTACTCCAGAACGGGGTTCCCCAACCTTTTTGGGGCTCATTTTCCAAAAGAAAAATTTCTCGAAATTTTTCTGCTGACCAGAAAATGTTCATACATTTGTTCCAGCCTCAGAAAAGTTTTGCTAGGAGGAGTTTACTTTTTTTTAGTATTTAAAAAGTTTCTTCTTTGTTGTAAAAAAAATAAACACCAAAGAAGCAGCTATGCAGGGAAATGTCTTCCAAAAAATAGATAAGTGGGCTTGAAGAAGGGCTTCTCAGGGATGAAAAAATTAAAATAAATTATTTCAGAATGCACTCAAGTGTTAGTTGGGAGAAAAGCCAACTTTTATTTTCTCATCAGATCATTTCAAATCAGCAATTGTCTTCGCAAAATTTTGGATAATGATAACAGACTTCATTGTTACTTTAGATAAATTCATTATATCGCAGAAAAATCCTCAAAAGTAGCAATGAAGTCTGTTTTCTTCACTGTTTGCGTCTATCGCTTCTCAAATCAGAGAATGCTTTGGCATACAGTATTTGTTGAGAATTGACAAGTTTTTCTTTAGAAAAGAGCAGCTCCAATGCCAAATTGGAAAAAGAGAGGACCACTTTTCTACTATTTTTCCAGTTAGAATTGGGAGATTTTATATTTCTACTGTAGACAAAAAAGGCTTTAATACTTTTGTGGATAATAGAATACTCAAAAAAAATAGTACAAGTATGGCAATTGAGTCAACCAAGAATTTATTGATTATTGGTAATTATGTTTACAAGGAAAATGCGGAATGAGATTGCTTGACACAGGAATACATTATAATAAGCATAAGATCCCAGATGACCAGGAAAGAGGAAATGCAATATGAAATAAACGGATAAACGAAAATTTTTTCATCTATTGCAAGTTTGTTCCAAGTAGTGCACCAGTTCAAAATCTTGAATTGAGCATGAATTACTACGTCCATAATTCAACTTTCAAGCCATGACAGTACTGGGAAATGCGCTTATCACCGAGACGAAAACTTGATTCTGAGATGACTCATCACTGAATCAATGTGTCGTCTCAATTGATTCGTTAAAATTATTTTGAAAGGAATGTTTACAAATTTCAAGGTATTTTCTTCGAGCAGAGAAGAACGACAGAACGGAACTTGAAATGCGAAAGGAGCTCAAAAATGGAATGCGGATGAACGGTATTTTTTTGAAACATGCCATTGAAACTTGATTCAATACAATCGTTAATGTCCCCACATTTCGACACGGTAACTCACGCCATTACAGTTTTATGCAGCCAGATTTATTTATCTGGAAACCGATAAATTTTTTATTCTCATTTCACCGAGTGACTTATCACATTAGAACATTCTCCCGTTAACATTTCTGCGATTCAAGGCAGTGTAAAACGTAAAAAAGGGTACATCGGTTTTTCAATCGGTACCACAAGGATTTAGATATTTTTATAAGCGAAATAAATTTAAAAATTACATTCCAAAATTAATTTATACGGTTCTGGAATTTGAAAAGTACAGTATGAAAAACTCGCGACCGAAATTCCTTTACGAAATGAAGCGAAAATTCTGCTCCTCGCCTTGATTTTATTTTAAATCTTCAAAAGACAGCAAAAAATAAATCATACCAAAAATTATTTCAAAATTCTGTAATATTTACTATTTTACTGTGTCCATCAAGATATTGTATTAGAAAAATCAACGCGTGCGCCATGTAAGAGATGTATCAATTACATTAAATTTTGTACATACGAGAATGCTGTGACGACTATCAGGTAGGCCTTATAAAAAATGACCGAATCGTAAAAATTCGATCTATTCGATTTTTGAAATTCGATTTTTGAATGACGTTCATACTACGATAGCAAAAAATAAGCAGAATACGCACGTCAAATAGCGGTGCTTTTATTAAGGACTAAATCGAGCCTTTCTGCATTTTTACTCCCTGCCCTTTTGATTTATGAGAGTCAATAAAAATGCTGTTCACGCAACAATTTCTGCAGGAAAATTTTTTGCTTTCCAAAACTATCACGCGCGTCTTACGCATGGTCAACCCAGAATTAAACCCGGAGAAAAGCAACTAAATTAATCATGGACTCGATACAGTGCATAACAAGTGTATACGAACACAATTAAAATAAGAATAAATAAAAAAACTGAGGTTCTTTCGAACAGGAAGGTTATGGTTATTCTCAGAGAGTCCGAACAAACCTGGAGCGACATCAAATTGCCATTGGCGTCGTAGGTGAATTTCCAGGGCTCCTGAGACTCGACCTGCGTCAACTGCCCGTCGGCGTCGTAAGTGAAATTGAGAGTCTGCGTGAAAGTCGCCTCGGCGCCACCGAGACTGCGAGACTCGACTCTGGAACTCTCGACTCGACCGACACTGTCGTAGGCAAAGTCTTCGCGGAACACGAGAACGCCGCCGATCGTGAGCGCCGAGCTGGACACGCGATGATAGGCGTCGAAGGTCTTGACGAAAGTGGCAACCCCGTCCGTCACGGCGCCCACGTTCCACTCTGACCTCGTCCGCATGAAAGGCCCGAACTTCTTCACTTGACCCGTCTGACGATCGTATTCGATGCGGATGTCACGCAGTCGCTTTCCGCCGATGCGACCGTCGATCCGACGCAACCGAAGGTCGCTGCCCCAGGAATACTGGAACTTGGAGTCTGCCAGGCCACTTCTCGAATTGAAGTCTGTCTTTATTTCCTTCGGCAATGCTCCCAGCGATCTGGTTATTTTCAAACAAAACAAAAAAGAAGAAGAAGATCCGGGATCAAATTTGAATTCACCTAGTACAACTTGAGGGATGACCGCCTGTTTGAGATTGAAATATCCCATAACAAATTGAGAATCACTTGGGAAAGTCAGGCGGCTACGGAAAATCTCAAGATACTCTGGACATCTGCTCATTACAAGAATTACAGTGGGACTCTGATATACGGACAATTCAGCTTACGGCCACTTGAAACAGGAATAAAAACCTGCCTCGACATCCGGAAAATGTTCCGAGATGAAGACACCTTTCCACCAATTAAAAAAAGGAAAAGGTTATTTTACTAAATTTTGATATCGCTCGATCAAATTGAGCTTTTTATATTCACAAAATTTAAAAATAAACTTTCGCATAAATTTGATCTAATTCATTATCAAAAAGCATGCAAAATTGTGATTCTTTTTATAGAGTTTTTTCTTTTCATCATCGGTGCCCAGTATAGCTAGACTTGTTCCTGTTTTTTTTTACTTCTTGAGCTCCTTTTGATCCCAAAAGATCTGATTCTACGTGGTTTTCTTCTGCACAGTTATTATCTGCATCTTCAAGCTGAGAAATTGTTTTTCGGGAATTAACGAAAAATATGACACGCAACTATTTTTTTCTGGAGTATTATCAAAAGTTCAAAGTTCCCTGTGAAAAAGACAAAACTTCCTATATTTTTTAGATAGTTAGAAAAGCATTCAATTTAGTTTCATAACAACCCTTTTTTTTAGATCCAGACGAAAACTGCGTTGCGGCAACTGTTTTCTAGTCGCATTTTCCGCAATATCGTTTCTACCACTCTGCCAATGATCCCTGGGAAAACATTCGGGGGCTCCTGATGCAGAATTCAAAGAGCAACTTTTCTGCCCGACCTAGGGTAGATTTTCTTACACAATATTTCTGCGAAGATTTCCTCGCGAAAATGGCCCTTTTTTCATTTCGTAGCACGAATCAATCAACGGACGCAGGGAAACAGGAGCGAATATCGCGAGATTGCGCTGCACTTTGCCCGTGATTGATTCTCGTTAAAGCAATTACCATTATCTATCAAATCCTACTGCCAGGCCACTTCTCGAATTGAAGTCTGTCTTTATTTCCTTCGGCAATGCTCCCAGCGATCTGGTTATTTTCAAAAAAAAAAAAAAAAGATCCGGGATCAAATTTGAACTCTCCTGATACAACTTGAGAGATGACCGCCTGTTTGAGATTGAAATATCCCATAACAAAGTGAGAATCACCCGGGAAAGCCAGGCGACTACGGAAAATCTCAAGATGCTCGGGACATCTGCTCATTACAAGAATTACAGTGGGACTCTGATACACGGACAATTTACCTTACGGCCACTTGAAACAGGAAAAAAAATCTGCCCTGATATCCGGAAACTTTTCCGAGATGAGGACACCTTTCCACCAATTCAAAAAAAAATTGGAAAGGTTTATTTTTCTAAATTTTGATAGCGCTCAATCAAATTGAGCTTTTTATATTCACAAAATTTAAAAATGAACTTCCGCATAAAATTAATCTAATTCATTATCAAAAAACATGGAAAATTGTGATTCTTTTTATAGAGTTTTTTTTCTTTTCATCATCGGTGCCCAGGATAGCCAGACTTTTTCTTGTTTTTCACTTCTTGAGCTCCTTTTGATGCCAAAAGATCTGATTCTACGTGGTTTTCTTCTGCACAGTTATTATCTGCATCTTCAAGCTGAGAATTTGTTTTTCGGGAATTAACGAAAAATATGACACGCAACTATTTTTTTCTGGAGTATTATCAAAAGTTCAAAGTCCCCTGTGAAAAAGACAAAACTTTCTATATTTTTTTAGATAGTTAGAAAAGCATTCAATTTAGTTTCATAACAACCCTTTTTTTTTAGATCCAGACGAAAACTGCGTTGCGGCAACTGTTTTCTAGTCGCATTTTCCGCAATATCGTGCCTACCACTCTGCCAATGATCCCTAGAAAAACATTCGGCGGCTCCTGATGCAGAATTCAAAGAGCAACTTTTCTGCCCGACCTAGGGTAGATTTTCTTACACAATATTTCTGCGAAGATTTCCTCGCGAAAATGGCCTTAAAAAAGTAAAGCATCGTGCTTAGTTAGTTGCCTGCGTCCCTTTGTCCTCGCTTATAGCGCTCTAACGCGACGTGAAACGGGCACTAACTAAGAGCAATTTCGTTAATGGTAATAGATAGTTTAGGACGTTCGAGGCGCTAATCAACGTTGCTTCTACTTCCCCGCGGTTCGATTAATGCATCAATCAGCTCCCTGTCGCGGCTGCAAGAACGAAAATAGACCTTTCCGGGTCACGGATAAATTAGGTCAAAGTGGCTTCCGGCGTTCTTTCGACAGATCAACTCTTGATTCGTTATACTCGAGGAATTATTGGCGTTGCTATTCACAACTGCCACTGAGAAAAATGAAAGAACCTTTACAACGTACACTGAAACCTTTACGTGGAATAAAGCGGGGGTTTTTATCGTTATTCGTGATGTAGAAAATACGGTACTTTTGCGAATAAATCCCTACTCTGGAGAAGTCATGGAATCCAGTTAACAGCCTGAAACTAAATAAATGCAAGAATTCATGAAGCCATTGACTTTCATCTCGTTTTTTTTACGTCGTTCATTATTGAAACTTTTTAAAATGTTAATTTACCCCTCCTGGGAATATGCTGGGACTGCTGGCTGAATCTCACCATATCTTAAAAAACAAATTGGTGCTCGCAGACGATAATCTACTTATTCCTTCGAATAAGGCGGAACAATTATGATGTAGTAAACATTTTTGAGCATAAAATTCTACACACAAAAATCATGAAACCAGGAACGCGTTTCAAAGCCTAATTATTTGTCTATTTTTTGAAACACGTGATTTCTTCGAGAGTTTTTTCGACGTTTTGCCCGTTTTAGATTCTTAATTTTTTGATGGTTAGACAAAAATTGTCCAAAAATACTCAAGCATCAATTTATTGATCATAGCTCTAATATTTTCTGATCACGGTCGAAAAGGAAAGAACACAGAGAAATGAAAGTTAATTGTTTACTCTTGAACCAACCCCTCATTGATAAGTACTTGGTCCAAATTGCTCAAAATACAAAGAGTATTATTTATATGCTTCTTAATTTCAGGGATAATGCTGAAAACGAAAGAACAATAAATACGTTTTATGATTTTCGAAATTTTGGCGCAAAAAAGGATGAATGTGCGGATCAACTGAAAATATTACCTAGTAATACTTGAGATAAGGCGACACTAGCAGAAAATCCTTGGCAAATTCGGAGAATGCTTCCTTCAATGCTTTGAATTTATACCAAGTGGTTCGATAAATGATAACTCGATTAGATAATTGAGCACTCAAAGACCTTCTGCAAAATTCTCAATTTAGCATCGCTTACCATTGATCGATTCATAGGTATGGCCATTTCAGAACTCAATCCAGAGGGACATTCAACAGCTCGAAAGTGAAGTTGATTGATCACGCGCCGCAATAAAAGCTCTTTCTGAACAAACAAAATAAAAAGCCCGTCGAATCCTCATGGGTCACTAAGACTGAGAAGTACTGTACATAAGCCGACCATCATTCTCAATGTCAAAGTGCTGTACAGTACTTGTACTGTACTCCTCGTTTCACACTCATTTCTATTTTAAGAAACGTACGCGTGGGGACTCGACACTTATTGAAGCAGGAAAATGCAACCCCTCGACTCACCTGAACGTGATCTGGCTCGTAAAGTGTCGACTGGCTTGCTCGATGCCGTCGACAATGCCGTCGACGTATCGGTAGCTGACACTGCCGCCGCCGTAGAGCACGTTTTGCAATCGCTGCGCTTTCCCGTACTCGTAGAGCACTTTGCCGCCGTTTCCGGGCAAGGCGGTCAAGTGGACGCGTCCCTCTTCGTCCAGGTATGTTAGGTACGGGTCGTCGGAACCCGGCGGGAAGTAGGAAAATTTGAACGTGCCGATCGTGGGCTCCAGCAGGAATTTGTGTTTGCCGCGATTCGGAGTGTAAATGGCGTCCAAGCCGCCTCGGGCATCGTACGAGTATGTGTACTTCCGTCCACTGGGAGTCGTCACCGCTACGGGCTGGAATCCCCATGCCTAAATTTCGTAAAATTATCGAAAAAAAATAAAAGTTACTATGCGTCATACAAATTTCACATCTAAAAAATTGCACTATAAATTTTTTCTCGATCAAATACGTCTAAAATCTCTTATGCCTCATAGGAACCATAATATGACCGGTAAATAAATATACAATTACGCAAAGTCAGAATAAAATTGAAATGAACTTTCGTTCAAGCCTGAAATCAGTTTTTCAATTTATGCATCGTTTGAAATACTGCTTGGCCATTAAACAAAATGTTTCCTCTTCCATCCTTTATCGAAGAAGTCAAAACAAAAATTGTGAACCATACAGACTAGCATCATTATTGCAAAATGTCACTATTTTAGCAATTATATAGACAGAAAAAAATTGTCCCACAAAAAAGCTCACGCTCATTCAACAAAAAAGAACCTTGTTGTCAAAAACGCATTTTTTTTATAAATTTGACGAGAAATAATGAAGGTCTCTCTTCTAGAAGAACTGTTTACTGAGAAGCGAGAACATATTTTTTCCCTGTAAAATTAAAACTGCCAAAAAACATTCGCGCCCTTTCCTCGGATCAACATTACATTACTGCTCATCCTGAACCAGACACAATCTCAACGAACGAATACCTTCTACAACACATCAAATGATTTCATAAATACATTTACGTACGGTATTATAATGTATTGCAATTTAAGTATCACCCCCTATGTTGCTTACAAATGTTGCGCTTGAAAGAAAATTTTAGGAAAGAATAGCTTGAAATTTCCGAGATGCGCTTCCGGAAAGTTACTCGAAACAGAAATAATACAGTACGAAAAAGGTCATCCCGAGTAATTCGGACTAAAACAAAAAAATGAATAATTGGGATGGGAAATCGGTCATTGATGCGGAAATTAGAAACGTCTCGTACCCTGAAACATTTTTCAGTCAATTGTTCTCCAATGAAAAAAAGAGAAAAAGAATAAATTCAATTTCTGCCAGCACGAAAAATTTAGTGAGACGAAATGGAACGAAAAACAAGCAGGAAACAAATGAAACCCACTTCTTTCGAGTCCTTGTAGTCGTATCGAACTGCTTGTCCGTCAGAACCGACAACTTCGACGATCCTTCCCCGACTGTCACGGCTTAGCCGACGTCCGATCGTGATCCATCGCCAGCCCACGAGGCGTCCCAGGCTGTCGTGATGCAACAGCAACGGCAGTCCGGCGCCCTGGCGGCTCGAGGACGCCTCCCAGTCCTTGCCGACGGGTTTTTGGCCCCGTGGGATCCACTCTGTTGGTCTTCCCGACCCGTTGTATTGCACACTGAACACCACTTCGTCCGCGGGGTCGTACAGAGTCTCCATCAATCGCGATCTGTCGTACTCCGTCGTCAGAGTCGTACTTCCATTTATCTGCGGGGGTTGAAGCCAAAATAAAAATATGTCACGTGGTTTCAAATGTTTGACAAAATTTCAATGTAACATGGAAAAATAATTTCTATCAGAAAATTCCTCGCCTTTTTTTTTTTTTTTTTAGACTGAGCGACTTTTTTCAGCAACCTTGCGACGAATGACGGCTACAGTACAGTACTGTATAATGAAATCAGCAAGTTTCGCCAAAATATGTACAGTATTTCGGTACATCCCAAGACTCTTCAAAAAGCGAATTAAGCCATTGAAATGCACAAAACGTGAAGATTAACTGTTTCACGCATTACCCAAGTGATTATAATACCGTAAAATATATATAAAGTGTATAATACCGTATAATACCCACACTCAATCATTTCTTCGCTCAATGCTTCCAAATCCACGACAAATATTATAAGTACGGTAAATTTTTTAATAGCACTACAGACAGATATTTCCTCATTGATCCTTCACGAGTTCTTCAAAATGGGAAAGTTGAAATTAAATGTTTCATTGCCAAAAGAAGATGATTCGGGTACTCATCGAAAAAAAAATCCGGGATATTGTTCAATTGAAAGCTGAATGACATTATAAGCGAATTAGAATATTTAAAAACATATTCGATCGCATTTGGCCATTCGAAGAGCTGAGAATTCGATCAGATACGTCGCTGACCATCCGAGATATTATTCGACTGAAAGCTGCATGACGTTAAAGGCGACTTTGAAATTTTAGAAAGACACTGTATTTGATCGCATTTCGTAATTGATGATCTGAGAATTCGATCATTCCATCTTTGACCAATTTTGTTGTCGACGCTATGAATTTTAATCATGGAAATGCTTGCTTTTCATCACGGGGAAACGTTGTTGAGTCATTGCGGGGCTCATCGCATTAAAATCGATCATCCTTTTACCCCCATTCCCTTCATTTTCCGAGAAACATGAAAATCGGTCATGGCGCAAGGCAAAAAAAGAAAGAAGAGAAGAATTCCAAGGAAAAGGACAAAGAGCGATCGATCGAGACCACAAAGAGTCAAACACGATTTCGCTAATGTCTGAAAAACATTTACATTTTTTTTTTACTTCTCTAAAGAAGAAAAAAAATTTGTCATCGCGAGCAAAATTGTAACTCGGACAAGACAGCGTGAAGTGGATTTCTCGTCCCACCTGCGACGCCTTTTTCCCCCGGATGCGTCAGGCAAAATAATTGGACCCCGGCCTCTTTTATACAGTACACGTATACCACCCCGCATTCCTCTTTCTACTCGGTACAAGGCTCGTCTGCGTACGTATATAACCTCATGAATTCGCACCGCAGGGGAACGGGTTCATCACCGGATGCGAGCGAGTAGATGCTATCCGTGTCCTGCGGGGTATCCCGGAAGTTTGAGTTATTCCTCTCTTTTCTTTGGTGTGTCAATTTTAGAACAGTTGCAGGAATAGATCGGAAGTGTACCAAGTGGTTAACCATCAGGTGAGAAAGTCTACGAAAGAGCAATTACTGTACTGTATCTCCTAAGATGAAAGCTTCCGACGTAAGAGCAAATATAACGACTGAGCAATTTCCAACATTTTTATGCCACAGTTAATTCATGTTATAGTCGAATTTCAAGTGACCAGCAAAAAAAAAAAATCGAGTTAAGGAGGTTTCTAGTCAGGGAAAGAAGCATTTCTGTTGTGGGAAACATAGAAGAAAAGAATTGAAGGACATCGTATTTGGGGATATTCTGAGCCTTAAAATGATTCCTAAATGAGTTGTCAGGATGCTGAACTTGGAGGCAAGGGTTCATTTGCTTAATTAGTCTTTCATTTCCTTTCAAAAAAAACTTCAAGTTACTTCTTTATTGCTTTTCTCTTTCCTCTATCAATATAATAATAGACAAAAGGCCTGAGAAAATTCGAGTTACGGAGATTTTCGATGCATTTAAAAAAAAGGGAATTCAGACAGGGACTTGAAAAAACAAATCGACTTGAGAAGCTTCGGGCTATCAAAGTTCAACTGTGGTGTTGGTTCGATCGTTTGAAACTCGCCAAGTTGGGTTTGAAACGACCGTGGGTTACGTTGGGATGGGTGGATTCGGTTTTTCATATGGTTCTCTTGGTTCTCAGTCTTTTGAGGTGTGAACTGTACGAGGAAATGGATTGAAATCAGCAGCATCAGCAATATAGTAAAAACTGGCAAGTATTGGACACTGACACGTACCGTTTGTTCTCATCAAGCCGAAGTGGTAAGTCAAAGGGAAAGCAATTATTCGAAAAAATGACTTTTTTTTTACTGCTGAACAGTACTGTATTTCGGTTTTCGAATCGACGATCAACAAGAGACCGTTATTTAGTTAATCGCCAAAATGAAATCCGTGCTTCCGCCTTGCGTTATATACACATTATTTTCACAATACTGAACACGGTTTCACAAATTTCATGATTATCGGACAAATTGCTGTATTCGGATGCAAAATACAAGTTTCTATGGTTTAAACTTTGAAGTACCGTACGTAGATTTAAATTTCGTTCCGATTTTTCTGGTACTACTGCACATACGAATGTTTCCCTTAAAAAAATGACTGAACAAGTTCAATCAAATTAAATGTTCAACGAGTCGAAATAATGTTTTTAAAACATTGATAAACTTTTGTAGCATTGAGAAAAATATGAGCTGAAAAATCAAGAAAGAAATCTTCGATGCGAGTATAATGACACAGGTTTCTCTTCTCCATTTCAATTTTTTTTTAAATTCCTCCTGATCAGATTTTCGTGACCATTTTCAAAATAGAAGAATCTGAAAAAAACCTGTTTTTGATCTTTAACCTTTTATGAATGCATTGTTGTCTATTACAAACGGACTCTCTCCAGACCGAAATTCAAGAGGGAAAAATATTCGTCGTAGAGAGAATTTCGTTAAAGCGAACACATATAACATGGGGAGAGAATCCCATGGGAGGAAAATATATTTTTTCTACACAAAATATATTTTTTTAGGCAACATTGTTGTAAAGAGAGAGAGAGAGATAGAGAGAGTTCATCTCCGTTTAAAGAGCCAGCTTCTGCATTTCGAATTTCCTTTCAAATAAATTTTCCCCTCGTTCATTCATAATTGCCATGGGTGAGACCCGAGTTCAGAAAGCCCTTCGCTCCAGATCACGACGAGTCGTGAAATCGATGAGAAATATCATTAAATCATCCGGGAACGAAGGGAATGAAGAAGTTTCAGACGAGCCTTTTCCACTTTTCCGTTCCTCGGTTTCCATCATTTATTTTTTTTCTTGGTTCCGCATTACTTTCCCGCCGGCGCCCCGAGATGGCACGGCCTTGAAGAGGAAGAAGAAGAAGAAGGAAGCGCACCAGCGGCGCTAATTGGATTCGTGGCCCTGCATGCTGAAATGCCACGAGGCGGCGACCCGGATGATGGCCTCGGATGCAAATAACTCTCGTGGACGAGAAAATTGCACTGCTCCCCGCAACACACACACACGACGAAACGCGCTTTGCGAATCTTTTCCGGCGTGAAATGCGCGGAATTCAACGAAACCCCTCTGTTCCCCCACTCGAAAACAATTTTATTGCTTCCGGAACGACCGTGTAATTGAAATCCAACTGAGAGAGAGAGAAAGGCAGCAGCATGCATTCGGATCCTTCAGCAGCGCGGGAAATGTTCGAGCGAGCCATTCATAATATGGAAATTAATCAGCGACGATTGTTGTCAAAAGCATGTGCGCCATAGTCCCATATCCCATCCAACGACTCTGATATACGTGTTATGAATTGCAAACAAACGAAACGGTTCGTGCGAACGAAACTCATCAGGAAAACGGACGCTTCGCAATCGAGCTCCAATTTATCTGTCAACCCGAGCGTTTTCGAGCTCCAATTCGCACCCGTCGGGGGATACGCACGCACTCGAGCATACTGATCAAAGCTATTTTCTTAAGACAGCATTTAAGATGCATATTTTAAAGAATATTGCAGAGAATGAAAGAATTTATCGCTCGCGAAACGTCTGTTGAGTGATTAATTCGAGGAAAAAATCGTCCAGAACAGGAAACATTCGTGAAAATCGAATCTTTTCTCATGGCGCGCGGAACTACAGTATAAGAAAGATGTAGCTTCAATTTGCATACACCAGAATCGTTTTCTTTCCTTTCGACATCCTCACAAACATAGTGTACAGTTGATACAGTAAATCGTAAGTTCACAAGCAACCTTGAAGAACGGAGATCATTTGTAGCGAATCATTGATAGAACACAATCCTCGTGCGAACCCTAATAACCTTCGCGAAAAGGATCCTTCGCGTCATTTTTGCATGCAGAATTCTTTGAAATTTCTCTGCACGTGATGAGTAAAGCCATAAATTTGACAGCATTCCACAGAAGATCTAATGAAAACTGAGTTTTAAGAAATACTTGCTGGAGTTGTGTCAACTCATGCCATTCAAAACACGGAATATTGAAAAAAAAAACGGGGAGATTTCTTTTTGGACCACTCTGAATAAAAAAAAACACAGACTTCTCCGACCAAGCGTTTTCAAATGCCGAAACAGCAATTTCTAGAAATTATTACTGGCCTTGAATTGAACAACTCTAACAAGTACTGAACAAGCTCAAAGAAGACGTGATGGGATAGTGTTTATTGTACAATATTCTTGGAAATTTATGAAATGGAGAAGCTTCTCAATCTTTTTATTTTTAACAACAGATTATAAATTGATGAGCCTTTTCCCCGAAGGATTTTAACGAAGCAAGCAGATTTATACGGCAGTTAGTACTTCGCAGTTCAACTTCTCCTCAAATTTAAAACCTTCTTTTTCGTATAAAAAAAAAACATCAGGACGAGTCGTATATTCAACTGCGTTTTACATTCGATGATACAATATTTTCAGGTGACATATTCCATCACTTCGGACAAATATAAACTCCGGAATAAAAATCGTCTAACGCAACAAATATTTACCGCCATTTTTAGCTCAAGATCACAACCCTTAAATCCTGATTTATATTGAAAATGCTTGAGGAGATCAAGCTGGTGACTGAAGCAAGAGAAGCATCAACAAACGCCACTGATCCCGAACAAATTGGGATCTAATGCGAGTGCGCCTCACATTCGCAGGAAAAAATATATTTCATAGGTATTTGTGCACGTCAAAATAAGGGCAATTGAATTCAGGCACGTCTTATCATCGCCAATGTCTTGAATTCGAGTTCTCGTAGGATAACACCTATTTCTGGGATGCCGAAAGCAATTTTAAATGAACACACAGTCATTAGAGTCAATGAGTTTTAAACCCCTTCCTAACAATCGGACATACTGTACTATGAAAATCCATTTTTGATGCCTCAAAAAGCAAAAAAAATTCACGAGCGAATGTGAGAAGCACTTGAATAAAATTCGATTTCTTCAGAATCAGGTGCGTCCTTCGATTTTTTGATAAGCAAACACTGTGGAAGGCAATACCAGGTAGAATTGCGATATTTGCAGCTGAACAGTTTTGGCACGGGTTCGAACGACGAAGATCCCGAGTTCCATTCTGGTTTCAATCCTGCCCTAATACCAAGTACAGTAAATTGCCCAAAAACTAAGGTTTTAGCGAAAATAAAACACGTAAGGATGCCACGTCGGAAGTTACGAGCTCGTTTTCGCATTTTAATTAAGAATTATAACTCCGGCACAAGGACATATTGGTGAAAATTCGGGGTTCTAACTCCAGCACTAAAATTTGCACGTAGGTACAATTTCGGTTCATTGAACTTCAGACAATTTTAAAGCATAGAATTGCGTTTGGGAGAAACACGTTTAGGCTTTTTCGCGCGCGAATACTTGACGCCATGGCATTTTAAACGTCATAAAAAAATAAAATCAGCGACTAATCAACAATAATTATTTCGGGCTAACTTGAATGAAAAAAAAAAGAAGCAGGTATTACAGCTGCAGTTATGAATAAATATCGTACAGTATTACAATGTACAGTATGTATAAACGAAGTTTCCTCGCTGAAAAGCGTCGCCCGGCTGGCGAGGGTAATTTTCGCTTCCCTCCGAACCCGTCGCTCATTAACCTCTCTTCGAAGCGACGATGATCCCGACACGACGCCCAGGATTATCCCCTCTGGTGTAATTCGAAACCCTCCCCAGGTTTTGTGTGTTCCCGTAATGGACGCTTTTCCCGGGGATGAGCTACCCACACGTTGAGAAGGGGAAAGAGACGAGGGATGGCCCAACTTCCTATGGTTCCGTTACACGACACTTATTCCTCTTCTTTTCCCCCAGAGTATATTTATTCGTGTTTCTTTTCTTCTTGTTTTTTTTTCTTACCTGAGTCGTAATTTGCGACCAGATCGTTCTATTGTGTGCTCGGATTTTCGTACGCAAAAAAACTGCGAAATGTAATACTGAACCAAGGTATAGAAAATGCAAAATCTGCTGCTGATATGCTTTGGCTCAAGCTAACTAAAGCTCTAAGCTCACGAGTGGTGCCCCAAAAACAACATTTCTCCGAAAATGAAAAAAATTTATGAAGTAAGTCTCCATGCACAAAATTTAGAAAATTCTGCTGATTTTAATGTGGTCCCAGAACACCCCCACGCAAAACACAAAGATTTCTATTTTTAATGTGAATTTAATCCAGGGAATGCAGATTTGTGATACGTGAGACACAAACGGCGTCAAAACTGGCATGTGTAAAAATAAAACCATGTTGTTCAATGTCATATCTATCATGTCTATAATTTTTTTCATGCCTATAAAACCATGTTGTTCAATGCGCATCAATAAATGTTGGTGCAGTAACAAAGTACTGTATGTACCGTAATGGGATTCATAAATATATTAGAATGGTTGAAAACCCATGGAATGAAAACATAAATAATCCAGAAAAAGCTTTAGCACATTTTCGTAAAAGAAATTTAATACTGAACCCTTCAGGGAAAATAAAAAAAAAACGAAATGAACACCCATCAGGGAGAAATTCAATTGAATCTTTTTCAACTCTACTCAAATTTTGCTCTCGTCAGCGGAATTCAATGAGAAAGCTTATAAAAGCTAAATCATTATAAATCTGAACAAAGTCCAAAAGGACTGACCTTGAGTAGACGTCGGATCCGCCAGGGTTCCTCAGACTGTTCGACGTCGATGTTCCACACTGACGACACTTCATTGTCGACAGTGCCAAACGTTACTGTTTGGTTTTGCGGCAAGGGAAAAACCTGAGCCTCGACACTCTGCGACGATTTCAGCACGGGATGATCCGCCGCAGCCCGACCACGCAACGACACGTCCGTCGAGTGTTGCAACACGAACGATCCGTTTGCGTACCTCGACACCCAGCTTTTCACGTCACCTGCGCATCAATAAAAATTTAATAAATTTGATCAATTTTCAAATTAAACGGACGAAGAGGCTCCGAAGGAGAAATACTCTGATATCGGTGAAGTTCAGGCCTACGCACTCGCGAAACTCTTGAGAAGAATTTAATAACGGCTTTCAGTTTGACGTTGATTTCATCCATAGCCACAGAATTGAAGCTCGAATGATGGGCTGCATGATGACCATAAAGCTCAAACTTTGTGATCAAAAGTTGCAGTCTAATAACCAAAGACGAACGCAAGTGATGATCATTAATTAAAACTTCAACACGTGACTGATTCTGCAACAACAACGACTTGCAGCGTTGAAATACAGCCCATCTCACGAACTGTTTGATACAAGATATGCATCAAAAGTTTTGTCCATTTTGTGCTGCTTCCCTTGTTCGATGGAGATGGATTTAATTTCATATAGTAAAATTTACCTACAATTTTTTCAACTTTGGTTTTCCGAAATGGAAGGAGGGCAGAAATCGAAGTGCATCCCATCAGGAAAATGAAATACGTCAATGCATACCTGCAATATTTGAGTACTGTAATTCAGCAGCCGCATAATTGATGTCAAATATTCCCAAAAATTAAATTATCTCCTGCAGGAAAAATTTCATACATGTCGTACAATCATAAACGTCGCCCATTTTCAGGTTTTGTATTTTTTAATTTTCTGTCGTCGACAATGAATACGAAAAGGACAATAAATGTCAATTGGCGAGCAAGAAGCTGCCCAAGTTGAAGACTGAAATCCATGGAAATCCTTCCTTCGGAGAATTCCAAGAAACTCGGGTACTCAAGTTGGTGGAAAATAAAGCATTTGAAAGAATCCTCGTAAAATACGGTACATCTGCGTTGAAATCCGGACGCAGAAGATCCGAGCATAAATATGAATAATACGGCATACGAATGTTTCGCAATAAAGCGCGGTTTAAAACGAGTTCCGCTCAGCACCGGATTTACTTTGGCCTGTAAATTCGCATTGACTTTCGAGTCCGGAAAAGGGAACAACGCAGTTTTCAAAGAAAAGTCCCCATTTCCAGAAATGCTCGAGCAAATCCGCATCTCCTCTATTTCCGCCTCTTCGGAAATCCTCTCCGTCTCTCACATTCCAGCGGCTCAAACATGGGGTCAACGGCAAATTTCTTGAAATTTGGATTCACAGTAAAAAAAAAATCACGAGATAACACGAGTCTTTCGAAATTCAACCAGTCAAAGTCTCCTCAACTTCGTCATCGACAAACGCAAAAAAACAAAAATTGAACGAAAAATCCCATCCCGTGAGGAAAATTCAACAGGAACCCGTACACTTTTCCCCGAGAATTCCTGGAAACCCAACCTCTCAATTTACAAACATGTATGAAAAAGAGAAATATTTTCGGGAAGGATGGGGATCAAGATCACAGGGAGAAGGATGGAGATCGATGGTCACAAAAAATCGACGCCAACCCTGAATAAATCACTTCTCGAATCCCAGAGAACTTCAGCGAAACGACGATTATCGAGCGCATCCTTCTCTCGTTGGAAATCCTTTCCTGGCCACAAATCGGGTCTCATCGATTTTGCGGCCGAGAAATTGAGGAAATTTGCGAACGAAGCCTATGTTTTCCTTCCGACAAGCAAGGAAAAGTCGGACAGAATGGGATTAAACCATGAAAGAATTGCGTGTACAATATATTCGTTAATGCTTTATTTACGACGTCAGGCTTACACGTGCACGAGGGTAATTATCTTAAGTTTTTTATGCAGTAATTTAGAAGTTATGAAATAATTTGATTGCATTAAACTCCAAACACGATCGGCATACAAAAATTGGCGATTTTGAAAATCCACGGACTACTGTATTCAAAATTACGGTACGTTGATTCCGAAAGCAAATCCCATACCGAAATGCGTTTCTAGATTTCATTTAAAAATTATGGCTTCAAAAAAATGATTATAAAATCACAACTTTTTGAAAAAAAAACTAATCCATGACTCGATTGCCTGAGCTTATCACGAGGTTTAATCACATAATCGGTATTTTAATTTTTAATTTATACAGGCTAATTCAGCGGTGGTTTACGATCGAAGAAAAGGAAATCCGGGTACAGTACATTACACTTTCTCTAGCCCCAGTCATAAATCAGTACAAGTACTGGTTCATCCTAACCCCGTTTCCGAAGCTCTTATAAATGTTTATCTTAGCGACCGGATTCCAAGCTTTAAAAAAGTACTGTGCGTGGTCCAGCAAAAGTGCTGATCGGGATCTTCTTCTCGAGAATTCCATCAACCGCAAAAGAAGGAGTACTTCTAGTACGCGAGGTCGTGCTTTAAATTTGCATGGAAATTCAGTCCAAAACAAACGGGTCTCTCGCGATATTTTATCACTTCTTATTCGTTATAAAAATGCATCAATGAAAAGCTCAAGCTGTGCAAGATATTTTTTTTTAATTGGACAAGAATTTCTGTGGACATTGCAGGTTGTATAAGCATTAGATGGGGAAAATATCCGCGAACCCTCATTTATGGTATGCCTGCTTGGGTACCGGGCCTGCAGTGCACGCGAACTTCTTCTGGGACTAGGCACAGGGCTCTGGGTCCTTTACCCAAGAAGGCGGGCAGTCGAAGAAGAGAGTGATGACGCACTCAGCTCCCTAAACCTGCAACCGTTCCTGTACTCTTACAGAGGGAATTTTTGGACACAACTCCAAGGATAAGCAAAATATTCTCTTGACCTTGTGTGTCCCGCGTCGTTGTACACAGATGAAACCTTGATTTTCCTTCTTTTTCCTTGAAAAGGGCCAGGAACCCATTTTGGTTTAAGAATTGTGTTTTTTGTTCATTAAAATGTATCGCACCGAGATCAGCTGTAACTTTGTCGCCTTACATGTAATTAAAATTATCCGTAGCTCGTAACGATCATTTTTCTCGGTTTTGTTTCCCCGGATTCGAAGTCCTTTTTTTTTCGAGCCAGATCGTAAAGAATATTCCATACCAGAGGGCCTCGAACAGGGTCTTCAGGGACACGTAGAATATATAAGCTGAATCAACAACAATAAAAAGGATGGAAAAATGAATAGGCTAGGAAATTTTCATTCGTTTTATAACGTATCACGCCTGTGATAAAGAGAACATTCCCGTGGTGTTTGAAGGGAGCAAAATAAATGAAAAATGTGACTCCGATAAACGCATTTATTATCAGAAGAAGCATCGCATTAAAACGACGGGGTAGAAGATTTTACTTTCATGAATACAGATTTCTCATTGCCACACAGGGGTCTCTTCATATCACAAAAATCTCTTTGCAACAAACATCGTTATTAAGAAATATTGTTTAAAGAGAATTCATTTTTGAGTTCCCTCTTGTACATTATATGGCCATACCGTCATTTGAGGCTTTTTATAAGGAGTTTTTAAACAAAGGTATTTTCCAAGACCCAAGGGCTTCGCAGTAACGAGATTTCCTTGTACAGTATTACTTTGATGCTTCGGTCATTCGCTGAATAACTCGCATAAAATCTGCCTTGAATCAAAAGGTAGCACTTGAGTTTTCATCCGAATTTTTTCTTCTTTCAAACTTTCTTCTCAAAGTTATTTTGATGTGGTGATGTTTTTTTCGAGGGTCGGATCGTTTGGCTTCTACTGAACATCCGAATGGCTTTCCATCCTAATCACACCATCATTTTCAGTGCAAACTTTTCGAAAATATCTCGAAAACTCTTTTTGGCATAGTAAACAAATTATTCGGAATATGTGTGATCATCGGTGCAATTTAACCCCGCCGGGGCTTCGAATCTGATGCCCTCAACATCTTCCGAACCCAGAGTGTACACCGAAGCCAGACGCATCGCTCGATTTTTAAATTATCTCTGACACATCCCAGACGTTCGACTGAAGTAAACTGAACTGGTTCAACAACCCTCGATAAAACGAAGAAGCCAGATGAAAGATTTGTTCGCTCCTGAGTCTCACAAAGCACGCCTCCTTCCAAGTCGGAATCCATGCGCCGACCAGACAAGAAACATCTGGACAGGAAAGAAAGATCCCCACCAGCCGGGCACGGAGGGGTTACCAGTCGCCGATGTCCAAAAAAAAAAAAAAAGAGAAGAGACTTCGGGATGGGGTTGAGCAAAATGAACCCGAGGGAAGTTCCATAAGTTTTCGAGGCTATAATCAGGATAAATTAATGGAGATTTCTTTGATCAATTCTGAAGAAGGCTTTCAGTCACATTAATTTCTAATTTAGGGACACACGTCGTCAGAGTGGCTCAGAAGGATTTTAGCCATCTGGAAGCAATGGATACTTCCGCTCTTGCAGAATGAATTCAGTATCGAACATTGGAAGGTGAACATCAACGGAAGGAAACGCGGATTGATTATTTAAATATGAAACAGGGTTTCAGTTTATTTGCGTTATAATTCACAGCTACGTCAGAGCAAAATCCTTTTTTTTTAATTTAAACGAACTTTTCCGCATGATCAATCAAATATACATTCAACGTAATAACATATTTTTGCATGATCATACACTTTCTGCAACGGTGCACACGGTAATCAATTTTGGTAATCGATTTTGAATACATTTTTTGAAAAGAATACATCCTCATTCAGAGAATTTTCAACGTTTTTCTGAATAATTTATGCCATTCTCGATGGATTTTCCAGCATAATTTAGCAAATAGATTACAATACCTCACATTTTCTCACGTGAATAATCTAATTGTGCGTCATGGAAGCGAAAAAAAGATTGTGAGTCTCATTTCAATTTATTGATTTGTGGCCGATTGACCGCTTACGATCCAGTTCTGGCAAGTTATGTATAACTTCACACTTGACTTTGAAAAAAAAATGCTTGCCCCCTCAGCATCGGCAAAAGAAGATGATAAATACGAGAGGTTCAATTTATTTTTCCCAGACGCGATTCGGCGATAATAGGTTATCCGAAATCTTCCCGACCTCCTCCGTCACAAGAAAAAATAACCAAGGCTCGGAATTTCTCGACTCCAATGGAAACGTTCTTCGTTGAGCTTGAAGATGCAGTACTTATTTCCTGCAACTTATGAACTTCCCCCAGTACTACTTCAAGCAGGGGAACACAACACTGGGTCTCTTCTGGCATCGTGTGGACGATTACTTTTGCCTCTCGCCCCAGCTCGAAAATTGTTCTCAAATTGCATTTTCCTCTCGCCTAATTCCTCGTCGTTGGAATGAAGGAAGCGTGGCGAGGAATAAACATCCCAATGTCCGAAGGGGCTTTTCGGAAACTTATTCTCCATTGAACTTCGAACTTTGTTTCGTTTCGAAAAAAAAATAAGTTGGCTTCCAATTTTAAAAAGTTACTGACTTCATCATTCTTTTGTGAAACGAGTGCGAGGAAAAGTTCGGTGGCACAGAACAACGCAGCGATAATTCATGAGTAAGTATTATCAGCCAAGTTTTCTTTTTCTAGGAATTTAACAAATATACTTTCTACGGTGATTCTATGGGATGTCTTCTTTTGAAGTACAGTATTTTGAGAACTGTATTTTCTGCAAAAGTACTAGCAGAATGGCGCAGACCTTAAAATAGCTTTTGTTGGATTCAACACATTGACAAGTTGTCTTGCCGTAGTACATTGGAACGTACTACTGAGTGCATTTCACAAACTTCATTAAGTTCGCTTTCAAACACTCTTTATTTGTTTGCAAAATTACCAAATATTCTATTCGAATGTCTTCTTCTGAAGTATTTTGAGAACTGTATTTTCTGAAAAAAAAGTAATGGCAGAATGAGGGATCTTAAAATGGCTTTAGCTTGATTCAACAAATTGACAAGCCGTCGTTTTGTATTTCATCGCGTATTTTAGAGTGCTTTTCACAAACTTCATTCAAGTCCGTTTTGAACACCGTTTATTTGTTTACAAAATTACCAAATCTTCTCTTCGAATGTCTTCTTTTGAAGTATTTTTAGAACTGCATTTTCTGCAAAAAAGTAATAGCAGAATGAGGGATCTTAAAATGGCTTTGGTTTGATTCAACAAATTGACAAGCCGTCGTTTTGTATTTCATCGCGTATTTTAGAGCGCTTTTCACAAACTTCATTCAAGTCCATTTTGAACACCCTTTATTTGTTTGCAAAATTACCAAATCTTCTATTCGAATGTCTTCTTTTTAAGTATTTTTAGAACATCATTTTCTGCAAAATAATCGCAGAATCCTGCCGACACACAGCGACATCATTTTGAACACCCTTTATTTGTTTGCAAAATTACCAAATCTTCTATTCGAATGTCTTCTTTTTAAGTATTTTTAGAACATCATTTTCTGCAAAATAATCGCAGAATCCTGCCGACACACAGCGACATCACCGTGCGGAAGTCCTTCCAAGCACGCGTATAAATATATAATCTCATCTCATCCGATCCGACACGAATGCATACACAACTTCTCAAGGTGATACTCGAGTATATTTGCCTCAGACATGTTACTGAAATAAGGTCTAAGCAGAGAACAATCTCGGCATCAAAACTAAGGAATACTGATACTCTTAGCTGTTTACAAGATATAGACTAATGTATCAAACCGAGTACTCATGCAAGACAAAAGACGCCGCGGAAAGTATAGATCTTTTCGAGTTTCACTCCACTCGTCAATCTCGACGCCACCCACGGAGAACACGTCATCGTCACTAATCATCCGACACTGCGGGGTTTATCTGGTTCATCTGACACTTTAATTGCTGCATGATGCGGCGAATCAAAAATCAACCCCCACCAGTCAATCTCGACGCCACCCACGGAGAACACGTCATCGTCACTAATCATCCGACACTGCGGGGTTTATCTGGTTCATCTGACACTTTAATTGCTGCATGATGCGGCGAATCAAAAATCAACCCCCACCGCATTTATTGAAGTGGGCGAAAGATCGATTGAAATACGCCTTGGACTAATGGACTTCTCGGGAAGCTCAAATATGAGACACAGAATATTACTTTTCAAATGCACTTGGATCTAATGGGTGTAGGAGTCGATTCGGTACAGTTATATGACAGCTTAAAACACTCATAAGTCCAGTAAAGTGAGTTAAGTATCTACACAGTAGAATCTTGTCACAATACGAAGCGTTTGAGACCTACTATAATCAAATCTCGTTATAGACTTTTTTTAACATTTTTGCTTTAACCTTATTGCAACGCCGTTAACCTGTCACCGTTTTTAGGAGCACTCGGGACTAAGAAATTTTGCTATAATTTTACAAATATATTAAAAGACTTCAAACCGCACGTATTTTTCCATGATCTGAAGCATCTCTTGCATTAACTTAGGTCAGGTGTCCGCTAATTTTTGTCCTGATCGCCTGAAGGTTCAAAAGTATGGGCTTAGCGAATTATTGTATTCGCTAAATACTTTTTTCATACAGCTGGATTTTCTGCTCAAGGAAATTCAGAGGACCAGAAAAGAAAATTCGTCGTAAATAACCCCTTTAAAATGCGCAGAGAAAAAATTCGTTTTACAGAGAAAATTGTTCTAGAAATCTAGAGAGAGTCGATATGCATTTGGTGTTTTTAGCAATTGACCTTTCATGGTTCACGTGAGCATTTCCAAAGACCTATTGGTCTACTTCTCGTTCTTTGAACACTTTCCGGGAAATGCTTGATTTGACACGCATTTTCACGCTGGCTCATTTTTGCGCTTCCCTTTTCAAGATTATTTTTTTAACGTATTGTCCGTCTGATAGCTTTTGCGGTATAGGTATACTCGACTATATACAGCACACTGATCTAGGTCAGCTATCTCAGGGGAAAACGACTTCATATTCGAAGGAGACTTTATAACTTTTAAGAGAAAATGAGCCCTGCGCATAATTAAAAACAGAAATTGCATCTGATCAGTGAACTTTTAAACGCAAGGCTCCCACGCTAAAGTACACCAGCTTCGGAATAAATCAGCAGATTGTCTTCTCCAAAACTCTTGCTCACGGATATTTCAAACTTTAAAAACATTTTTTTCCACACTTCAAGTACAAGTCAGCACAACTTTTAGGCGTTTTTTTCGATTGTAGACAATATCCTTCGAGTTACTGTGGCCTATTTGCAAATTTTGTGAAGGCCGAAAATTTCGTTTTAGAAATTTCCATCGCGGCTTTTGATTTTAGACTAAAACAATTTTTGGAATACCATCTTCCGGGTAAAAAGTACAATATATGAGTATAGACTCGAAATAAAGGCAAATAATGGTGGATCATGCTGATTCCACGAATTGAAGAAGATTGATTCAATTTTCGACGATTCCTTTTTTTTTTTATTCTGTTCCTTCCAGAATTTTGATACGCATTTGAAGCTTATTATATTTGAAAGCCTGTCATATTCTCTTAAGGAAAATGTTCGAACTATCTAAAAGGGTTCACCGGTTAAAAAAAGCAAAAAATCCCGATTCAATTGAATGATGGCTTCCATATTTCCTCGCGAAGTAATACTGTTCATTATATGAAGCATATTCTTTCAAAAATTAGATTTTGAAAATAAGAACTGAGTGGAGCATTACGAACTGCAGGATAATCAAATAATTAAATTCACTCACCATCGTCGAAGACGCCGCGAGACGCATTCCGTTCGATCCGGATTGTGAATTCGTCGCCATCGATGTTGCACACAACATAGGGCTTTTCGCCCGGCTGAATGAATGCTGCCAATTCGAGTCTGCGGCCCGTCGGTGTCGTCACTCCTACCAACTTTCCAGACTCGTCGTAATCGTAGACATGCGACGTGGACCCGGCTTCGGCCACAGTTTTCGACACCAGCAACCCGGAGTCGTGATCCGCCTTGTACTCGAATCTATACTCCCGATTCTCAGGACACGACAGCCGCTCGAGCAGTCCTCGTCTGGACACTTGCACCTGATGAAAAAATGTCCCCCGAAAAATTAATAATTATTTTTGAATGATTTGCGAGTTTGGTTAGTTGGTTAGGCACCCCGTGACTTCCGGCTGTTTCCAGAGTGAAAAAATGGCACGAAACGGATAGATATTGATTTACGCCATCGAAGCGCAGCTTATAATCAACTAACGGAACTTGATTTTCGAAACATTTTTGATTTTTGGATTTATCGCATGAAAAAAATGCATTGTTATCGGCGGAGAGTATGTTGAACAGCGCTGAATTGTTGCCAAATGATGGAGTTATGCGTCGTAAAAAAATTCGGAATTGTTGAAACTTAATTGGATCAACTGTATTTCAAAAAGTATCAGAACGTATGAACCAATTCTCGTATCCAAGCTTTATTTGCAACTTTATTTGTCAGCTTTCATGCACAAGGTAAAGACATAATTTTCCACATCTCCCCACACATCCATTCAACTCGTTTCGGCGTATAAAAAGTAGGAATAACTTAAAATACGAGTATTAAAGGAAAATACATCAAATTACACACAAATGCAAAAACAATGAGTTGCCAAAATTTTTTTGATGACAAGAATGACGACATAAGCATAATGCATTCCCTGCGCACAAATTAAGGCACAACGCGTTCAGCATGTTCCCAGATAATTTTTATTGATTAAAAAATCTAGAGAGAATCTTCGAGGAAAACTCACATAAAGCTAACAGTTTTTCCGGGGCCACTAAAATTCGGGAAATTACCTTCTCATCAGGTTCTGAGAACCCCCAAGTCTTTTAAAAGTCGATACCAGTTATATACCCTGAGGCTTTAATTTCTCTAAAATGCCTCGAAGAGGTACTATACCTGGTACTTGTGGCCGTCAGTCAGCTCGATCGTCGTAACTTCGTTCCGGTAATCTCTGATGAACGAGACTTTGTTGCCCGAAGCGTCAGTAACTTTGTTCAGTTTACCGAAGCTGGTGTTGACGCTGTATAAGAACGTGTACTGGATTTTCCCGGTGATGATGTCCTTGGTTGCAATGTGCAGACCGTAACGATTGAAAACGTACAGTTCCCGCGTCGGGGCGTAAGGAATCCAAAAATCTCCGGATTCGTCAGCAACAAGAACGTGTACTGGATTTTCCCGGTGATGATGTCCTTGGTTGCAATGTGCAGACCGTAACGATTGAAAACGTACAGTTCCCGCGTCGGGGCGTAAGGAATCCAAAAATCTCCGGATTCGTCAGCGGTTGGAAGATATGGTTCAACTGAATAGATCTGAAGATTCGAAAAGAAAAGCAAAACATTAATTCAATGTCCATCTATTGACCACTCGATCCAACAAAAAAAATGCCAAGAAACACTGCACTGAATATACAACGCAAAACATTAACGAAATTAAGAATTTAATTTTTTATCCTTGAGGTAAAAGGAAAAAGCTTCAAAAATATCCGAAAGACGAACGAAATTCAATGCTGTCGTATTCATTTCGAGGTGAACTGAATCAGATTTTATTGTTCACACAGCTGGAAACTAGAAAACAATTTTTTCTCTTAACAGAAAATGAAAAAGTTACACGAAGATTCATCCGGAATAGCATGGGATCTATGGCATCAATTTGCTGTTCATCCAAAAATGTAATTCACATAATTTTTCTTTTTAATCGATTCCTGAAACTAATTTACAACGTAGACCAAAAAAAGTAGACCGAGTAATTTACACGTCTTGAAAGATCAATAAGCGATAACATTTTAAAACCTCGTGAGTTGTTTCCAGACTTTGAAAATATTTTGTTTTGAATTCCATCTTGATGACGAGAAGCTCGAATATTCGTACATAAAATCATATGCATGCAAATACAGGCAGCTTCATTGCTTCTGGTAGAATCGACGGATTTCTTCGATTCGTGTGAAAAATCTGATGCAACGAAAATGCTGTTTACATTTTAAATGATGTATTTTTCGGAACAAAAAATTATATACTGTATTGCATATACAGGCTCGTCTTTTACTCGATGGCTTCTCATATTCGAGTAAACAGGGCATGCTCACCAAAAAGATAAATAAAAATAAAATAAATAAGTGGAAGACATAATCTTAAAAAAAAAAGAAGAGGGTTCTTATGATTGGAACTTAGGGAACGACAGCTGTCGTTAGTCGAATAGTAGTCCGGGCTGTCTGTACCGGAACTACAGCGGCTTCCGTTGGCTTCTGCGCTCAAACCGCCGCACGGCGCACCTCGTCGAATGCGAACAGGTCACGTTCTTCTTGGGCACGTCATCGCACGAACAGGCGGCGGATTCCTGGCTCAGGAGATTCCTAGTGGCGCCTGCGGTGTCCAGCTCGAGCAGGAAAGTGTCGCCTGTCGCGGACTTGCCGGCCACGTACAGGTTCCCGCGGGAATCGACGGTGACGGCAGTGACGGGGCCCGGGGACCGACGGCCGACTGACGCGTCGTGCTGGCCCTGGCACTTGAACACGTTGCCCAACACGGTGGTGATTTGGGCGTCTTGGCTCAGCTGCAGCACCGACTCTTCATCCACGAAGATCAGCGAGTTGTCCAGGGGATTCACTGCGATCGACGTCGGCCATCGCAAGGAAACCTTTTTTTTTCCAGGGGATAAAACAAAAGAAAACATGTTCTTATCCAACAAACTGTCAACCACAAATCATAATCCAAGAAAACCATCATACAATGCTTCATTTTTTTTAGATTGAAAAGCATCATTTGTAAAAATCTTCTCGTCTCGTGAATAAAATCGACATGACATACAACTTTCTTTGACTGTAAAGTTAAAAAAGAAAAAAGCTTGAGTAGTACACTTTTTGTTAACATGAAACGAAGAGAAGTAAAATTTTGTGTACTTTATAAAAGAGTCGGAAAAAATAAAAAAGTAGTCGGACATGGAACCTATAATAGATTCACATCGGAAATTGCAGGCTAAGCTTCCTTTTCTTTTTTAGAGAACGAAATACGCGTCACGTCAATTTTTAAAAAGTAGGACAACCTGGACATTTTGGCGATGAAAAAAACATCGACCATATAAATTTCCGTGTCTCTCGAATTTCGTGAGGAAGTGTGTCTCGATTTGATGTCGAAATTCTTTGCAATTCTGAAACCTTCAGCTCGATCACCCGTAATAAAAAAGGGAGAGCAAAAACGTTGCATACAATGGGACATTTCATTTGCTTTCAAAAATCATTGGAAACTGCAGTTCAGGAATTTATCACGACCGAAGTCGACCATCGCAACGAAACCCTTTTTTGTAGCGAAAATTAGACAAATCAATATTAACGAATAGTAAAGACATACATCAACATAAAAAATATAACAAACGACTCGAATTTCGTGTCAGGAAAATACTGTCGTCATTTAGAAAAATCGCTGCGTTTCATGAATATTTTCGTGGAAAATCTTCACCTTGAGCTTTCCTTATGGATGCTTTTTGAATGAACAGCTCAGTAATGCGATAGAAACGGGTAAATATTGTAAACCAGCACTGCATGGTCTCTATTTCTTGGATTTTTCCCCCGAAAATCTGTTTTTATCTTCAACTGCTTTACGACAAACAATTTTGCGAAAATAGGACGAGCGCAAGAACCAAGGACTTTCAAGAAAAAAATGTCAAGCATTGAGAAAATGATTCTTTCGAATGGCAAAAATCGACGCACAAAGTAAAAATGAAGCTCTAACAAGGCACCTCGGCTGAACTACAAGAGTGACACGCAGTGAGCACTACTCATTGCCAAATTGACAACGAAAGCAATTCCTCTTCATAAACGAAGAGGTAAACTTCCGGGAGGAGGCATACGCAATATTCATCAAAACGCCAGCACACGTCCACTTCCATTATTAGCACAAGGCACATGTTGGACCTTACCCACATCCCGTCACAACATAGCCTTTCTTTTTTTGTTTTTGGTTTTTTTTTTATTTCCTCAGCCAGCCCCAAACAATGGAGACGGAATATACGGGGGATGAAATGAGTGGACTCACGTCGGCAATGGGAAGCGACACGGGGCAGGGAATGTTTGCTTGCCGCTGCACGTGC